TCTGACATAAAACTGTAAGAAACTAAAAAATAATAAGGGCCCTTTGGCATAGACTCCTATTCTTTTGTTCCACCCAATATGGTAGCTTCCAATTTTTTAAAAATATGTTTTTATTGATCTTTTTAACAGAGAGGAAGGGAGATAGAAACATCAATATCAGAGAGAAACATCGATTGGCTGCCTCTTGCATATGCTCTATTGGGGATGGAGCTCACAACCTGAGCATGTGCCCTGACCGGGAATCAAACCAGAACCTCTCAGTGCATGGGATGATGCTCAATCCACTGAGCCACATCAGCCTGGCCCAATTTTTAAATGCAAAAGTTTAACTGAACCCTGGCCAGTGTGGTTCAGTGGTTAAGAGTGTTGGCTCTTGCGCTGAAGGGTCATGGGGTTTGATTCCGAGTCAAGGGCACATACCTGGGTTACATGTTCCATCCCTGGCCTGGGTCAGGGTATGTGCAGGAAGCAACCAATTGATGTCTCTCTCTCTCTCTCATTGATGTTTCTTTCTCTCTCTCCACCCTCCCTCTCTCCCTTCCACTCTCTCTGAAAATCAACACAAAAAATATCCTCAGGTGAGGGTTAAAATTAATTAATTAATTAAATAAAATTGGCCCTGGCCGATTTGGCTTAGCAGTTAGAACGTCGGCCTGTGGACTGGAGGCCCCAGGTTCGGTTCCCACCGAGGGCACATTACCTCAGTTGCAGTTTGTCCCCAGCCCCAGTTGGGGTCGTGTGTGTGGCAGCCTGTTGATATGTCTCTCTCATGTCGATGTTTCTCTCTCTCTCTTCTCCCCTCTCTCCCTCCCGCTCTATCTAAAGATAAATGCAAAAAAATAAAAATAAATAAAATTGAAATAGCCACAGAAATGCAATATTTCATCACTGCAGAAAGACTTATTGCACTGAACCATTTACAAGTTTATCTGACATGTTTCTGGTCCTTAATGTCTAAATGCATTGATAGCTCTCAGGGTCATATATACCAAACCAAATTCTACTGTTGAGTTCAGGGTCATAACAGACACCTTTGCCCTTTATTTTTCCCAAAGCTCTCTAATCATAAAAATAAAAAAAAGGTCTGCCCTTAAGTGATGCAACATGTATGCTTCAGAGAGTTTCACTATATAAAGAATGATATCTCTCTCCTCTTAGGGACTGAAGGACCCAGGTGCCCCAAATAAAAGACTATTAAAAACAATTACATTTCATAAACAATAAGAACACTATGACAACTGGAGAGCTTAGTTCAGAAGAACATAAACACTTGTCTTACTTTATCACCAGAACTTCAGCTACCATGAAGACCTGCAACAGGTATATTCTGCAGAGAATACTTTTAAAAGACAAGTTATGATTATTCTGATTACAAATTCCTGCTTTGAAGGAATGTACATGAAAAAATCAAAACCCTTAATTCAATAACAACTGAATGTCCAGCTTCACTTCTTATTGCTGTTTTCCCTCTAAGAGAGGATGACACAAACCTCCTTCAATTTCATTCTTTCTTAGGCCTCTATTGCTTACTCATTGGATCATTTTCTAAAGGAAGGTGGCAGAAGGATACAATCAAACTTCTAATTTGAAGCAGTCTTTTTAGTTTACACCAAGCCTGTACTACTCTGAGCCATGCCAAATGCATGATTTCCACACCACTTTGCAAACCCAGCTTAACTCTAACTCAAGGTTTCTCAACAGCAGCGCTACTAATATTTGGGGCCAGATAACTCTGCATTGTTGGGCTGTCCTGTGCATCACAGGATGTTTGCCAGCATCCCTGGCCTCTGCCCCACTAGATATGGGTAATAGCCCTCCTCCTCTTCCCAGCCCAGAGTTGTGATAACTAAAAAGTCTCCTAGGGGAGGCAAAATTGCTCCAGGTTGAGAACCACTGTTTTAACCCAAGGAAAATTCCTGATTATCTCAACCCTAATTCCTCATAATCATCTGATGATCCTCTACATCTCTGTGTTGAGACTCTGTCTCACAATCCAGCAAATATTTACAGAACCTCTCTGACACAACATTAAGGGCTCTAGAAGATACACAAGATAGATTCTGTCCCTCAAACAGGTTTCTTGGGGGCAGAGCAGGGGAGTAGGTACGTCAAGAGCTGTAATAATAGACACCCAATTATATAATGTTTTGAATTGTTGAATTTTGTTCCTTATTAAACTAAAAACACCTTGAGAGTAAACACCATACCTGCCCTGGAGTACTAATACTTGACTAATGGCCAATAAAAATTAAAATAAGCTATTGTAAACTTCATCATAACAAGGTGACAATTTCATATGGACAGTAAAAACTCCACAGGCAACTTGGGCAATAAGTTAACCTCTCTTGGCTGCAAAATGGGGAGAAAGTTATAGTTTACAAGAAGTCAGATGACACATACAAATAAATCTTTTTCCACATTCTGGCACAGAGCAAGCAATGTAAACTATCATTACTATTATTTTATTAGCAACAAATCCTACCTCAAAGGGGAAGATCCTGCTCTAGGATACATTAACAAGTCCCTACATGAAATAAAAAGAAATCAATACTCACCCTGCTTTTTGAGGACAAGAGGGAGAAAGTAACCCTAAGCATTTCTATCAATGTCCTGGGAGGAAAAAGTGAATGCAGGAACCAATTGGGGGTAGAGGTAGGGGGGAGGGTAGCATTCAGAGACAAATCCATTATCCTTCAATTTATCTTCCAGCTGGGCCCTCCAATATATCTTGAGTTATCTGTTTTGTTTTGTTTTGTTTTTAATTGACTTTAGAACCCAGTCGGTGTGGCTCAGTGGCTGAGCATTGACCCATGGACCAGGAGGCTGCCGGTTTGACTCCCAGTCAGGGCACATGCCTGGGTTGTGGGCCTGGTCCCCAGTGGAGGGCATGCAGCAGGCGGCCAATTGATGTTTCTCTCTCATTGATGTTTCTCTCTCTCTCTCTCCCTCTCCTTCCTTTCTCTCTAAAAAATCAATAAAACATATTTTTTAATTGATTTTAGAGAGAGGAAAGGAGAGAGAGAAACATCAATTTATTGTTCCACTTCTTTATGTATTCATTAGTTGCTTCTTACATGTACCCTAAGGGAAGATGGAACCTTGGTGAATCAGGAGGATGCTCCAACCAACTGAGCTACCTAGCCAGGGCCCCAAACTATTCTTAAGACCTTTCTATTTTACTTTATTTATTTACTTTTTGTTTAATCCTCACCCTAGGACATGCTTTGAGAAAGGGAGATAGAAGGGGGGAAAAACATCCATCAGCTGCCCTCTACATACACCCAAATGAGGACCGAACCTGCAACCCAGGTATATGTCCTGACCAGGAATCCAACAGGCAACCTTCTGGGGCACAGAGTGACGCTCAACCAACTGAGCCACTCAGGCTAGGCAAAACCTTTCTATTTTAAATGCTTGGGTGTGTTTGCCATAACCACACAAGGATGTAAAGGGGAAGTAAAAGGAAAACAATCCTTATTTTATAAATATTGACATATGCAAGGGACAGATGTTTAGGAGATTTTCTGAGTGTTCATCTGCTTAATCTTTCAGAAATTGTGCTTCAAATTTCTATCACTATAAAGTTAAATACGTGCCATCAATTTTGATTTTACTACAAGACATAGAGTTCATAAAAAGAAAAAAAAGACAAAAACTGTTACACGTTTAAAGGTAAGAGAACATAAGGTCAGGAAAAGCTAGGTGATTCAAAGCTAGGTGATTCAAAGATATGTGTGTGTTTGACTAAAGCAACTTTAGGAGATGGGAGATATTTGGGATAGAAGTCAAACATGGGAGGTCACCATGCTGGGTCACACACAGACAGGAAACACGTCCGACAGTACACAGAGTTTAGATGAGCAAAAACAGACCTTAATTCATAATAATGGACACCACCAGTTTGGTGTGTACCTGGGCTAGGCATCAAGTTCCTCATTCATAGTGACTCATGTAACCTAGCGATCTTATTAAGCAGGTACCCACAATTTACAAAGGAGGAAATTCAGGCACAGCAGTAACATACTCAAGGTCACTAATCAGTACATTGAAAACTCAGACTCCAACCCAGGCACCGTGGTCTCACCTCTATCGCTATCCATTACGGTGTCTATTTTCACTTCAGACCTGGAAAATTAATTTCTACTGGCTACTTAGTGAGACCAGTTCTCTTTCCCTATCCTTTTGTATTTTAAAAGAGAATCCTTTTCGTGGCCACGTGCAGAGTGATCGTAAAGAGGCTTGCCAGGTAAAAGTGTGACAGATGGACCCTTGTGCCTTTGGACTCTGAAGTAATCCACACGAAGGAACTTGCGTGGGTACAAATGGTGGAGACATGTCCCCTGGACAAGAAGAGGAGGGTCCGGGAGACTGAGAGAGGTCGCCAAAGTTCCTATTTCAGCCCCTATTTCCTGGCCATTACGTCCATTCAAAAGACCCCCCGCCAGCCTATTCCACTCCCTTCTCATCTCTCCCACTGAGCAGGGGAGCAGGCGGCGAGGCGGGGGCCTGTGGGCAGGGCGGCTGGAGCCAAGTGGGGTTCCGGACAGAAGGCGAGGCTGCGAACCCGGGAGGGGGCAGAGGCGCGTGGAAAGGCGAGGGCCGGACAGCGGCGGGGGCCGGCTGGGGAGCCAGCGCTGGGGACGCGAAGCCAGTGGGGTTGGGGTCGGCAGGCAGCGAGCGATCGGCGGGCGCTGCAGCTGAAGAGGCGCGGGGCGGAGCAGCCCTGTCACTACCCTCTGCGCTGACCCGAGAAAGGAAGCGGGCAGGAACCAAGCATTTCGAAACAGGGGTAGGAAACAGCCTCGAGAGCGGACCCAGGCCCGGGCGACGGCGGGCCGGGGGTCGCGGCCCGGAAAAGCGGGGCCCCGGCAGGAACGAAGACGGGGCTCCGCGCGCGAAGGGGCTGCCCAGCCGGGGCAGAGCGCGGCCGAGCCCGGAGCCGAGGTGCGGAGCCCCGAGATCGGGCGGCGTCCCCCCGCCGGCGCCCCGACTTTGCGTACCTGAGGCGGCCGCCTGGCTCCCCTCCACTCCGGGGCCGTCCCCGACGCCGCCCGCCGCCCGTCGACCCGCTGCGGGGCCCCAGAAGCCCGGCCCCTCAGCCGCCTGCGGGTCCGACATCTGCAGCCGCGCCGGCAGCGCCTCCGCCGCCCGCCGCGAGTGGCTCCGGAAAGAGCCGAAGGCAGCGTGCCCGCGGCCGCGGCGCGCCGGGAGGAGCCGAGCGGAGCTCGCCGCCGGAAGGGGCAGCGCGCGCACCCCGGAGCGGTGGCGGAGCTCGGGCCAGCGCGGGCTGGCAACGCGGCCGCGGGGAGGACTGCTGCGTGCTTTGACGGCAGGTTTTTAAAGATCGGGATTGCGAGAACAAACAAAACCTGGGGAAGATTCCGGAAGACCCGGCCGGAAACCGTGGTATCCATAGCGACGCTATCGGAAGTTGGGGTTGCTAGGAGGCCTCGGCGCCTCGGCTAACCTGCGTCATGGCTGAGGTCCCAGAAGATTATGAATCTGACCCCGATGAAGGTGAAGACCTGGGGTCTGAAAGACCGCAACTGCCTGGGCCTCTTAAAATAGCTGAAGATGCAGAACCAGACGTCACGCCAGACGCAGACCTGGAGCCACTTGAAGAGATGGACCAAGCGCCACAGCCAGAAACCCAGGAAGACAGCTTCAAAGACCAGGCGCCGGAGAGTGCTAAGAACATACACTCACTCCTAAAACCAACCAGAACGTCTGAGATAGAGATTCCCAAGGAGTCAAAGACAGACCTTTCTAGCGAGACTGAGACAGGAATTCCCCAAGAGGTCATGTCGGAGATATCCAGAGAGGTGATAGGAGAGCTTTTCAAGGATTTGGAGGTCCCTATGGATGAAAAGCAGGAGGAACCAGACCTAGAGCCACTAGAGGAGGCCAAACTAGATGTTACAGAGTTTGCTCAGGAAACAGATCTAGAGCTACCAAAGGAAACCGAGTCAGAGATTCCAAGAGCCACAATCAATGAGGAAAGATTGGAGTCACTAGAGGAGACCAAACTAGGGGTTCCAGAGGAAGTACTTAGAGAGCAAAATGAAGAGTTAAGTCTAGAACCTCCAGAACAGGCCAAACCTGAAGTTCCAAGTGAGAAACCAAGAAAATCTATTGAAGAGACAGATCTACAGCCACTGAAGATGACCACACCAGAGTTTCCAGAGGAGACACAAAGAAAGTCACTTGAGGAGAAAGAAATAGGGCCATCTGAGAAGAATAAACTAGAGTTTCCAAAGGAGAAACCAAGAAAGTCTACTGAAGAGGCAGGTCTAGAGTCTCCAGAAGAGACTAAGCCAGAGGTTCCAGAGAAGACAGAAAGAAAACCAATTGAGAAAGGGACCAAGCCACCTGAACAGACTAAACCAGAGTTTCCAGACCAGAAACCAAATAAGTCTACCAAGGAGACACAAAGAAAGTCAACTGAGGGGGAAATTCCAGACCTAATAGAAGAGATCAAGTCAGAGTTTCCTGGGGAAAAATCAAGAAAACCAATTGAGGAAACAGACCTAGAGTCATCAGAAAAGACCAAACCAGAAATTCAAGAGGTGACACAAAGAAGGTCAACTATGGAGAAAGTTCTAGAACCACCAGAAGATACTGAACCAACCATTCAAAAAGATAAGCAGAGAAAATCAACTAAGGAGACAGGACTAGCACCACAATGGCAGTCCAAACAAGAGGACACACTAGGAGAGTCAACTGAAGAGCAAGATCTAGAGCCTCCAGAACAAACTACACCAGAGTTTCCAAAGAAAGAACCAAAGACACAAATTAGCTCAACTGAGGATGCAGGTCAAGGGCCACTACAGAAGACCAAAGCAGAGGTTCAAGAGAAGACACACACAGAACCAACTGCCGATGAAGATTTAGAGTTACTAGATAAAGGCAAACCATTAGTTAGACAAGAGTCACATGAAGAATTTACTGAGGAAGATAGGCCAGAACCAATCAAATTTAAGCATTTTGTAGACAGTGATGAGCTAGAGGATTCTGAGTCTCAAACAAGAAAACTCTCAGTAAAAGAAACTGAAAGTGTTGTGGATGACACTATGTTAGGCTCTTTCACAGTAAGAAAAGCAGACTCAGTAGATAGGGATTATGAGTTTCCAGGAGAACAGCCAGTACTATATGAGCTTACTGATACCAGTAATGCCTTATACTCAGAGTCTCAGAGGGATTTAAGAGAGTCCTTTAGTGAAAAGAAAGTTGCAGATTTGTCCCTAAAGTTGAAGAAACTGGTACGTGAAGATAAGGAAACCCTGTCACAAAAAAGGATTGAGCTACAATTTGAGTGTCTTCAGTGGAGTCCAGAAAAAGTTGCAGAGTGGATTAGCGAGTTAGGCTTCCCTCAATACAAGGTATATAAAAATAAAAATAACATTTTTTAAAAAACATACTCTCATACATCTACCTCTTATTCCCCTGCTTTATCTGAGCTCTTGTCTCTTCCTTACTAGAAGGATTATAGAAAAGTCCTGGACTATGGTGGAGGTAACTTGCATTGGCCTCACCACTAATGTATATTTGTATTTCGGGACAGGAAAGGAGAGTTACATTTGTATGTTTTTTCTATTAGACTACAAAATTTACATAGGTTTCTATTCATAGAAAACTAAATTTTTTAAATAGATTTCATCCATGGTAGACTTTTTGGCACTTTGTGAAATCATTTTAGCTTCCTAACTTGAACTTGTACTATTAATCTTAAGTGTCCCAAATATGCCATGTATGTCATAGTACTAACAGTACTAATTTAAATAGCCAATTAGCCAAAAATAGTTTTATTTAAAAGAGAATTTTCTTATTTCATTGATGCCAACTATGTTCTTAGGCTACCACAAAATAATACAAAATCTGGAATCTTTTGTAACCCTGTGCTTAATGATGTAATTGAGGCATAAAAGAACTATTGGTTATATAATGCCAAAAAAATTATTTAAGGAGCAGTATGAAATGTTATCAGAAGCTTAGATGGAAAATATGTGGGATTATTAGGATTATTACTTAATTTACAATTTGCTCAGTATAGAACAGGAGACAAACATGATTTATTCCCTCCCTTCCCTACCCTTCTCTCCCTTCCTCCCTCCCTCCTTTCCTTCCTTCCATTTGCCATACATCTTTTAAGCGATGTTCTCATTGCACTGACAGGAATGTTTTACCACAAACTTCATCAGTGGCCGAAAACTGATCCATGTAAACTGCTCAAACCTCCCTCAGATGGGGATAACAGATTTTGAGGACATGAAGGTGAGTTGTGTATCAAGTTTCTACATAAGAACACTGTAACAATGCTACTCTCTATCTTCAAATCAACCTCCTTTTCTTCTGGTTTTCTCTATTCCCCACTTGTTCGGACCTTTATTGCCTTATACTTAGAATATTCCAGTAATCTCCTGCTTCTAGCCTCTGTGAGCCCTTTGGATTCAAGGCCGCTGCTTTTAAACTCTTACCTTCCAACCATTTTATATACCACTCAGAAACCTTCTTTGGGCCCCCTCTGCCTACAAGATAGACTCAACTCCCTTAGTTTAGGATTCAAGGCCCTCCTCAACTTTTCTCCAACCATCATTCTCTCCCTACCACTCTTCTACATGAATCTTCTACTCCAGCCTCACGGGTTTAACTCACCTTCCCACACCTATCTTTTGCATTCCTCCTTCTGCAGCTTTGCTCAGTTCTCCCTTCCCCCATATGACTAACATTAATCTTTTTTTTTTTATTCTCACCTGAGGACATTTTTGCATTTATCTTCAGATAGAGTGGGAGGGAGGGAGAGGAAGAGAGAGAGAGAGAAACATCGATGTGAGAGAGATATCGAGTGGTTGCCATCCACATGACTCCAACCCGGGCCGGGGACAAACTGCAGCCGAAGTACGTGCCCTTAGCGGGAACTGAACCTGGGACTCTCTGGTCTACGGGCCGATGCTCTAACCGCTGAGCCAAACCGGCCAGGGCATTATATGAATCTTAATCGTCCTTAGGACCCAGCTCAATTTTTTTTTTTTAATTTTTTTTTTTTATCCTCACCCGAGGACATTTTTCCATTTTTTGTTCAGATAGAGTGGGAGGAAGAGAGAGAGAGAGAGAAACATCGATGTGAAGGGACACATCGAGTGGCTGCCACCCGCACGACCAATCAGGGCCGGGGACAAACTGCAACCGAGGTACGTGCCCTTAGCGGGAACTGAACCCGGGTCTCTCTGTACCGCAGGCTGACGCTCTAACCGCTGAGCCAAACCGGCCAGGGCCCAGCTCAATTTTTATGTCCCCAAGAAGTCTTTCCTGACATCTCCAGGTCACAGTAACCTCTCCTCCCAAGCTCGCATTCATTTTGTTTTTATTAAGTAACACCATAATGTGTTTTGCCTCCTTGGCTACCTAACTTGGAAACAAGTTACATTTACCTCTATAGACCTCAATTTCCTAAGATCTCTCCAGCACCAATAGTCCATAACAGCACCCTCCATTTATAGTGCTTGATAGTTAACAAAGCTTCACATACATAATCTCATTTATAACCTTTCCTTTAATACCCCCCTCCCCAACATATCAGTGGTTTCATTCCATACACTATTGCCCATAAATGGTTCTGCCTAAATGAGCAATTTTGTAACCTGAACGAACCTCCATGTACATAATGCAGAAAAGGACCACTTATGCAAATTGGTATTTCCAACCATGTCCTCACATAGCTACCAAGTACTACCAGGTACATCTTTTTGTTTTGTTTGTTTTTTATCCTCACCCCCGGATATTTTTCTATTTATCTTCAGATAGAGTGGGAAGGAGGGAGAAAGAGAAAAACAGCGATGTGAGAGACCCACATCAACTGGTTGCCTCCTGCACGACCCCAACCAGGGCCAGAGACAAATGGCAACCAAGGTCTGTGCCCTTGGCCGGAATCAAACCTGTGACTCATTAGTCTGTGGGCCGATACTCTAACTGCTGAGCCAAACCGACCAGGGCACATCTTAATTTTTTATGTTCAACTGTATTTATAAGCTCTAATTTCTACTTATGTTTATAGTGTACTAAATTTTCTATACAAAAAGAAGGAACAGCCCTGGCCGGTTTGGCTCAGCGGTTAGAGCATCGGCCTGCGGTCCTGAGAGACCCGGGTTCGGTTCCCGCTAAGGGCGCGTACCTCGGTTGCAGTTTGTCCCCGGCCCTGGTCAGTTGTGCGGGTGGCAGCCACTCGATGTGTTCCTTTCATGTCGATGTTTCTCTCTCTCTCTCTTCCTCTCTCTCCCTCCCACTCTACCTGAACAAAAAATGGAAAAATGTCCTCTGGTGAGGATAAAAAAAAAAAAGAAGGAACAGAATTCGCAAAATAGTAACTTGTAATCCAACTTCCTGAAACATTTAAGTGCCATTCGTTTTATATTTTTATCATGGAAAAAACATTTTTAAGAGTCTTCTGATTCATTTTGCCTCCTTGACATTCTGATTCCAGTACAATAAAAATTCCAGTTATGCTTTTTTCTGGTCTTATGAGAAACAAGAGATCTTTAAAAGCTTTGGAAATCCTTAAGAGTAAATGATGAATCCAGTGGTCTATTCTTATATCCCAGGAAGTTTGAATAAGCTAACTTCAGAATACATATTATGAAAGTCACCAGACAAATGTGGCCATGCCTGAGGTCACTGGAGTAACATAAAGATCAAGACATTCAAAGAATGTTAGATAATCTTTGCTTGACACTTAAGTCCACATGAAAAAAGCTAATTATACACTAGGACATAGGTAACTTTTTAGAAATCGTACCTGAACTTACTTAGGCCATAGTTACCTTCCATATAGATATACTAAGCATATTTAATCCCACTGTTGTAAATATAGCACCTAGTACACAGTTTATCACATCAATGCCTAAGCAATGAAGTTATCTTTTTAATGTTTTCTCTCCCACTCATGGGCTTTCGGAGAGGGGGAGGAGTTGGGGGAGAGCAGGTTGCTTGAGAGTACAGAATTCTGGACATGCTGTTAAGAAACTGAACCACATTTAAACTGTGTACCCCATTTATAAGACTTGAAGTTAATTTATGGCCAGTTGCTATTCTCTTCAACTTCCTTTTACTTCCTTAATTTTGCAATTACTCATGCTGCACCTGCAGAAATAACTCACCTTCCCTTTGCCCTTCCTGCAATATACTGAAATGACAGAAGTAAATGTATAGATGAGACTGGTGAGGAGTACAGGAGGAAAGAAACACTAATTCTTCTTTTCGGCCGGTCAGAGGAGCTCTAGAAACCAGTATCCTGTCTTTCCCATTTGTAGTGATGCATTACCTTGGTAAAAGGGGTAAGAAAGCCAATCTTATTCTAGGGACAAGATAAACAAGATAGCATTATCTTTCTCTCTTAGAATATAAATCTCGAAATATTTTTGACTATTTTCTCCATCAAGTGAACAAAAGAACTCTGTGATAAATATTTGTAAGCCATAGATGAATTGCTTATTCCTTTTGTATATGCATGACTTTATGTTATAAACTATAGCTATATAAGCTTTATAATATCTCAGCAGTTTTACTACCCTTGCCTTGTTGCAAACTATTTAAATAGCACACGTTTATAACAACATGTCATAAATTATCACTAGACAAGAATAGTTTTTAACTTTTAATTTTCAAATAATTTTTTGTTTTACCAGAGTTGCCAAGATAATAGAGAGTTCCTGTATACTCTTCACCAAGTTTTCCCTAATGTTAACATCTTATGTAACCGTGGTCCATTTGGCAAAATTAACAGTACAGCACAATTAAACAAACTGTAGATTTTATTCAGATTTCTGCAGTTTTTCCACTGATGTCCTTTTTTGTTGTTGTTCCATGATCCAAGCAGGGATACCACCTTGCATTTAGCTGTCATTTCTTGGTCTCCTCCAATATGTGATAGTTTCTTGATATTTCTTTGTCTTACATGATCTTGACACTCTGAAGAGCAGTGGTCAGGTATTTTAGTTTGTCTCATGTTTCCCATGAGGTTATGCTTTTGGGGGGAGACTGTCACCGAGGTAATGAGCCCTTCTCATAAGATCAGACAGTACATGGCATCAACACAACTTCTTATTAGAGATGTTTATCTTGATCGCTTGATTCAGGTGGTATCTGCTAGGTTTCTACAGTGTAAGGTTACTGTTTTTCCCTTTCATATTCTGTTCATTAGAAGTGAGTTACTAAATCCAGCCTATACTCAAAGAGAAGAGAATTAAGCTCCACCTCCCAGAGAGAGGAATAGCTAAGAGTTTATGGACATACAATAAAACTACCACTGTAATAGATACATTGGAGGAGATATTTGAGGCTATGGAGAGATCCTGTTTCTCCTTCAAGTTTTGCCCACTAATTTCAGCATTCATCAATGGATCTTGTCTGCAGCAGTTATTACTATGTTGTTCTAATGATGATTTTCTATTTCTCTCATTCTTTCCATGTTTAATTGGAACTCTTCTTAAGGAACTCTTCTATAGTCCTGGCCAGGTAGCTTAGTTGGTTAGAGCATTGTCTTGATATGCCAAGGTTATGGATTTGATTCCCAATCAGGGCACATACAAGAAGCAACCAATGGATGCATAAATAAGTGGAACAACAAATCAATGTTTCTCTCTCACTCTCTCCCTTCCTCTCTCTCTAAAATCAATAAATCAAATTTTAAATTAAAAAAGGAACTCTTCTATGCTTAATTGTCCCTTCTCCCCCATTTGGGAGCTCTTTCACATTGGCTCCAGGTTCCTTTTGACATGCTCCCCTTTTTATTTTGGGGGGTACTTTTTGGCATTATGACTTCATACTGACTCTAGTCCATTACCACAGGGTTCATTCTAGCCTTCCCATCCTTCTTATTCCCTACTCCCCTTTGCTTTTTTATAACGTCTTTCTCTAACAGTGGCTCTCCTTCTCTATAAATACATATCCCTATGAGAAACATTTACCAAATAGAGTACAGTGTTTGCGTACAGTTTTGTTTGTCTTTAGCCTTTCACTACTTAGACAAAGCAATGTCAACTCCTTTCTTCCCTGTCTCCTTTAGTAACATAATGCCTTACTTTGTAATACAGTTAGATTCACTTATCTACAGCCTATATCCAGTCACGGGTTACCACAACATCCTAGCTTTTTAAAAACTTGCATAAAGTCACTCTTTGTAGTGTAAAGTTCTATGGGTTTTGACAAATGTATGTAGCCAAAACAATTATATCACCCTACTATTTCCCATGTCCCCTCTGTAGTCAACCCATCCCTCCTCCTCAGTCTCTGGCAACCACTAATCTGCTTTGTGTCCCTTAGTGTTGACTTTTCTAGAATGTCACATAAATGGAATTATGTAGCCTTTGACTCTGGCTTCTTTCCTTTAGCAAAATGCATTTAAGATTAATTCACATTGTTATATGAATCATTTTAAGAAAACTATACATCTGTTTTAATAGTAGTGGTATAGATGATTCATATTTGAACCATAAAAATTATGTCTTTAGGTTTAATTAAAGTAAATCAGAGGTTCCAATTAAGCAAGTGTGCACTACTACTATAAGGTAACTAAGCAGTGTGTAAAAATTAATAATGATGATGTAAAACCATCAATAGTGTACAAATAAAAGCAAAAATAGCAGCCTTTGAAAATCATGGTCAACACAAGATACATGATGATATAGTAATAATTAGAATCTTCTTAAAAACTGTAGGTGAGCCCTGGCCTGTTTGGTTCAGCAGTTAGAGCGTTGGCCTGCGGTCCAGAGAAACCCGGGTTCGGTTCCTGCTAAGGGCATGTACCTCAGTTGCAGTTTGTCCCCGGCCCTGGTTGGTCGTGCAGGTGGCAGCCACTCAATGTATCCCTTTCACGTAGATGTTTCTCTCTCTCTCTCTCTCTCTCTCTCTCTCTCTCTCTCTCCCTCCCACTCTATCTGAACAAAAAATGTCCTCAGGTGAGGATAAAAAAAAAAAACCTGTAGGTGATACAAATACCTACTTGAGACCATGTGAGGTAGGTGCTCTGCAGTGATGCCAAGCACTGAGCATGGGCCACCATCCTAAAATATGGAATTAAGAATCCTTAGAAAACTCTAATATTAATCTTCCTGAATACCTAGTTTTAACAATCTTTACTAACTCAAGTAAGTTACTAGTAAGTTGCTGTAAATCTTAGGCAAAAATAAAGTTTATTGCTGATTATTTGTCAGAATTAAAGAAAGAACTCACAGTTTTAGGTAAATTGATAGCCTATCAGAGGACCCTCATGGTCCATCAGTGAGCCTCAAACATATCTTAAGAATTACTGAATTAAAGGAGGGATGGTTGGATTATATTTCTTGATTCCACATGTAATTAATTGCTTTATAACACTTTTACGTTCTACACTAGGATATTAAACATTACGGACTCTCTTGGCCTACAATAGGCACATAACTCTTTTGGTTAATAGTGAATGACTACAAGGCCCCTCCTGGGGGCACCATCTGTAAAGCTCAGTGAATTTGTGAAATAACCTCTTCTAGTAAGCGACATTCAAAAGGAGAGTCAGGGTGAGGTGTTGACCAAGCACGGTGCTCAGTGTAGCAACATCAATTATAAATGAGAATTCTTAAGAGCCACCTGTCTAATTTGAATCGCAACTCTTAGAAACCTCTTGCTACAGACCTTAATTAGTAGTCCCACTTGAAATGCAGGACAACTATGTAGACTCTCTCTTACCCACAAACCATCTAGAGAGTCTAAACAAAAACCAATTCAAATACAATTTGAGAAGAAAGGCATCTTTCCTACCTCAAATATGTGGCAAATGGGCAGTTTTGTATCAGGTGTAGAATTGTCGGTAGCATGAATTTTACAGTCTTATAACTGTGGCCAGTAGTTCTAAATTAAAAATAAAAAAATTCATTTCACATAGTCCTTTGGCTGTGTTCTTGCAGCCACTTCATGGACAACAGTCTTAACCAGAGGCAGAATTTGAATTCAAATAGCAATGTTAACAACAGACCTATGATTAAAACTAAAATTTGAAAATGCAATGACAGTTTAATCTAGGATATCAAGTGGCATGGTGCTCAATGAATACGAATTGTCTTAGAAACATTGAAGATTGTGGCAAAAGATGCTTTAAAAGACTATACAAGTATAGGTACTAATAAAGTAGCTGGAAGTTGAATGTCTGCTTTTTAGTGTTTAAGATTTATTTTTAGTCAAACAAATTGAATAACTATTTGCATAATTTTTTTTAGTTTCAGATTAACTGAGCTCCTTATAGACAAGTTATTTATTAACCTTCCCAGAGAGTCATGGCTTCTAATCTGAAAATATTATTTGCTCATATGGTTGGTCAACTTGCTCAGCCAAAAGAAAGAACTGAACCCATCCGTGGCCATCTGATGCAAGGACCTACAAACATCTTTAAATAGGACTTTTAAAAAGATAAATCACGTTAATGTTTCTCTTAAGAACTTTGTCTTGATAAGGCCAGGCTAGTAAGCCTTTCAAAGTGTTATTTCATTATTTTATTTTCCCATAGAAACAACTTAAGGGGTTAGCATTCAAGAGGCCTAGGAAAGTAAGTAAAACTGCTTTGATTTAGTTGTATTTTCAGGTTAGTCCTATTAAAAAATTATCCTTGTATTTCAGGTAATTTCTCGGCACACGCGGGAGCTACTGGGAATTGAAGAACCATTATTTAAGCGAAGCATCAGTCTTCCCTATAGGGACAATGTTGGCTTATTTTTAGAGCAAAAAGGTCACACTGGGGTAAAATCTGATTCCTTGACCTTATCTGAATTTGTGCAAACAGCAGGATTACAAGATTATGAACCACAAATAACTGCCTCTGACGAGAATGAGGCATTAGATTACACTGAGCCATAGGGAAAAGCCATTTCACTTAGTTTGAAAGATCAAACTAAATTACTTAGGGGAAGAAGTGTGGTCTTTTTGGGTTTTCTTTTTCTCCTCTTCATTAAGGATCAGAGTCAGAAATCCTGGCACCATTACTAGTTCTATCACCAACTCACAGCACATCCCCTGTATTTGTGTTGCAATGTAGCCTCTTGTTAAAACAAAGATAGTGCCCTGGCCAGGTAGCACAGTTGGTTAGAGCATCATCCTAATACGCCAAGGTCGTGGGTTTGATCCCGTCAGGGCACAAAAAAGAATCAACCAATGAATGCATAAATAAGTGGAACAACAAATCAATGCTTCTCTCCCTCCCTCCCGCTTCCTCTCTCTCTAAAAAAAAAAAAAAGAAACAAACAAACAATTTTATTATTGAATCAGCATTAAACCAGACTGTGATGCACACCCCAGGGAAGCGACTAAAGAAACCACAAAGACAAGGAAATGGCACCCTTTCGTATAGCTAGGTAGACACAGTCCATTATATACATGTTAACTGTCTGTATCCAAAGGGAAAAACTCACATCGTTATGACCAACAGGAAGTTATTACTTGCAGCCAGGCACTTAGGCTAAACTCCTACAGATTCAGGGAGATCATGTGCTGGACTCCTGGATGCTCACATATCACAGGTGGCTCCAAGGTCTATCAATCCCCAGAAAGTCAGTCCTGGGATATAAAATTGGCAGGAGGCTTTATTCAGCTTTTAAAAATATTTACGTATATCTCAAAGTCAGAGAAAGATCATTTATATTACAAGTTTTCTTAAGAAAAGGGGAGCTTTCTTTCCCTTTTGGCATCAGAGAAATATTTTAAAATATCCATATTACCCAAAGCAATATATAGATTTAATGCAATCCCTATTAAAATACCAATAGCATATTTCACAGATCTAGAATAAATACTCCAAAAATTTATATGGAACCAAACAAGACCCCAAATAGCCACAGCAATATTGAGAAAGAAGAATAAAGTAAGAGAGTTCACAATACCGGGTATCAAACTATACTACAAAGCCATTGTAATCAAAACAGCCTGGTACTGGCATAAGAACAGGCACATAGATCAATGGAATAGAACAGAGAACCCAGAAATTGACCCAAATCGTTGTGCTCAATTAATATTTGACAGAGGAGGCAAAAGAATACAGTGGAGTAAAGACAGCCTCTTCAATAAATGGTGTTAGGAAAATTGGACAGGTACATGCAAAAAAAATGAAACTAGACCATCAATTTACACCATACACAAGAAAAAACTTAAAATAAATAAAAGACTTAAATGTAAGTCATGAAGCCATAAAAATCCTAGAAGAAACCATCAAAATCTCAGACATCTCCGTAGCAGAACTGTCACTGGCACATTGCCTATGGAAAGAGAAAAAGAAAATAAATAAATAAATAAATGAACAAATGGGACTACATCAAAATAAAAAGCTTCTGCACAGCAAAAGAAACCATCAACAAAGTGAAAAGGACTCCCATTGTGTAGGAGAACATATTTGCCAATGATACATCTGATAAGGGGTTACTTTCCAACATATATAAAGAACTCATACAACTTAACAAAAGACAAATAATCCATTTAAAAACGGGAAAAGGATCTAAATAGACAATTCTCCAAAAAGGACATACAGATGGCCAAGAGACATATGAAAAAATGCTCGAAGTCACTAATCATCAGAGAGATGCAAATTAAAATGACTATGAGGCATCACCTCACACCTGCCAGAATGGTTGCCATCAACAAATCTTCAAACAACAAGTGCTGGCGAGGATGTGGGGAAATGGGAACCCTAGTACACTGCTGGTGGGAATGCAGATTGGTGCAGCCACTATGGAAGACAGTATGGAGTTTCTTCAAAAATTAAAAATGGAACTGCCATTTGACCCAGTAATCCCACTTCTAAGGATATATCCTAAGAATCATGAAATCAACCAAAAAGAATATACACATCCCTATGTTCATAGAAGCTCTATTTTTAAAAACTAAGATCTGGAAACAGCCAAGTGTCCATCGGTAGATGAGTGGATAAAAAAGCTGTGGTACATTTACACGATGGAATACTATACAGCTATAAAAAACAAGGATCTCTTTTTCCTTTGAGACAGCATGGAGGGACCTGGAGAGTAGTATGCTAATCAAAATAAGCTAGTCAGAGAAAGACAAGTATCATATGATCTCACTTATATGTGGAATCTAGTGAAAAAAAAATAAACTGATGAACAAAATAGATCCAGAGACTTGGAAGCATGGAACAGACTGATGAATCTCAGAGGGAAGGGGGGAGGGGGAAGAAGAGATTACCCAAAGAACTTATATGCATATATGCATAACCCAGGGACACAGACAATAGTGCAGTGAAGGCCTGGGGGTGGGGAAGGATTGGGGGGGGAGGGGACAGCTGTAATACTTTTAAAAATAAAGATAAATTTATTTATCTATATATGTACACACACACACACACATACATACACACACATATATTTATTTATTTTAGGTTTGTATTTATCCTTACAAACAGCATGGCTTATGGCAGTACCCTTATGATCTAGGTAGGGTCTGGGTTTGTTTAAAGGCTCTTTTATGTGGTACTTGCCAGACCTTTATAAAATGAAATTCAGGCCAGAGTCTACCCATGACTGGATAGAAAGAAATTCCAAAATACTTCCTGTTGCTTGCATAACTCTAGTTCCTCTCTAGAAAGTGCTTTTTATCCCCAGTCTCACTTCTTAATTCTATTTTTTTTTTAATATTTTTTATTGCTATTTTAGAGAGAAAGGAAGAGAGAGAGAAATAGAAACATCGATGTGAGAGAGAGACATCAAAACATTGATCAGCTGCCTCCTACATGCCCCCTACTGAAGACTGAGCCCAGAAACCTGGGCATGTGCCCTGATTGGGAATCAAACCAGGACCTCTCAGTCCATGGGACAACGCTCAATCCATTGAGCCACGCCGGCTGGGCTCACTTCTTAATTCTAAAAACCACTATAGGACTACCATAATCCAAAAAAGCAATGATGTATCCAGTCCAGTTCCCCACACCTGAATGGTCAAAAGAATACATTTTTTTTTTCTACTGAGAGAAACAGTGCCTCAAATTAGCAGTCATACCGACTGTTAATATTTGGTGATGAACCTAATTTTTTCCCAAATTGGACTAACAAAATTTTATCTCAAACCATTCAATATCGTTGAGTTTGCCTGACTCATAATTATGCAAAAAAGAAAAATATGAATGATTAACTTAGGACCATGGTAGTTTACTTATATAGTTAATGGTTTTGTTCAAAAGCAATTAGCACACAAGGGCTCTGTTCAGTGACAGAGCAGTCAGTGTGACCCTTTCTCAATGTGATGGTCACTGGTGCTCTCCAGTGTATTATAATTGACATAAAGTATTTGCAAAACATAAAGGAAATAGCCCTGGCCAGTTTGGCTCAGTTGTTGGAGGTTCGATCTCCAGCCCCAGTGAGGGTCATGTGGCAGGTAACCAATTGATGTTTCTCTCTCACATCAATGTTTCTTTCTCTTGCTCCCTCCCTCTCTTCTACTCTATCTAAAATTCAATGGAAAAATATTCTCAGATGAGGATTAACAAAACACACTCACAGCCCTGGCCGGTTTGGCTCAGCGGTTAGAGCGTCCACCTGCGGTCCGGAGAGGCCCGGGTTCGGTTCCCGCTAAGGGCATGTACCTCGGTTGCAGTTTGTCCCCGGCCCTGGTTGGTCGTGCGGGTGGCAGCCACTCGATGTGTCCCTTTCACATCGATGTTTCCCTCTCTCTCTCTCTTCCTCTCTCTCCCTTCCACTCTGTACAAAAAATGGAAAAATGTCCTCGGATAAAGATTAAAAAATAAATAAACAAAACACACACACACACACAACATAAAGGCAATAAATTTGCACTATAGAAATAAGATCTATATTTTACAAAATTATTTTTAGCCATTTCATATAAATGCCAGCTATTTTTCTTAAGTTTGTATGGTTTAAAATGCTTTAAATGAGAACAGCTTTGAATAAAATAGTACCAAAATAGTCATATATCTCTGAAATAAGCATGAAATGAGTCACAATTGAATTGTTTACTATACATTTTACTTCTCTATCTAAAATGGTAGGGAGCCCTGGCCAGTTTGGCTCAGCGGTTGGAGCATCGGCCTGCAGACCAGAGAGTCCTGGGTTTGGTTCCCGCTAAGGGCACATACCAAAAAATAAATAAATAAATAAAAATAAAATGGTAGAGAAATTACACTGTATCATTTGTCAGCCATATACTACTATAGGAAAAGAAGCTAAAAATGACATTACAACTTCTTAAATTTAGCTTTTATTAGAGAGATAATTTGTATTAATAAGGCTCTCTTAACTGTATCAGGTTATGCAGTTTCATCTGGTTGCTTCCAAAAACCAAATACACACATATATACCAATGTAAAGACCTCTTGTTTTAAGTCTACATTTTAAAGAGCCATCAGTACAATTTTCTAATTCCTTAGTGCCTAACATATAACAAACACCGTCCAGTCATGTGACTCCCCGCTGTCAGATGTGATGGTCAGGGTACAGCCATTGCAGAGGGGAGAAAGAATCCTGATTCCTGAGGTCTCTTCTCTTATTGGGATAGAAAGCTCGTGGAAATCACTGGCTTTTGTTCTTTGGTTAGGGAGATGCCAAATGAGTCACAGTACAGATAGGTAAAGTGGTCCTGGAGAGCAGTACTGGTTAAGAAATGCTGGCTAATGGGAGTGTCCCTGAGTTGCACAGTAGTCAGATCAAACCAGGGGAGAGGCCTGGAGTGAAAAAAAAAATACTGTTACTTTTCTGTCTGTTCAGTACATCTGATTTGGTTGTATACATTTCCTTTAAAGAAAGTTTTCTACCCTGGCCAGTGTGGCTCAGTTGGTTGGAGTGTCATCCCAAAACACTTTGGGAGTCCCGGTCAGGGCACATACCTAGGTTGTGGGTTCGATCTCTGGTAGCAGGAGGCAGCCAATCCATGTTTCACTCTCTCTCCCTCTCCCTCTAGAATCAATTTTTTTAAAAAGTTATTCCTCCACTTGGAAATAAGGTTCTTCACTTTCTAAATCAAACTAATTAAAATTCATAGTTAAATTAAAAATTTAGCTGAAATTACTATGTGGATTTAATTGTACGTATGGTGTGTTTTCTCACTTATGTACATTTCTCTAAGTGCATTTTGGGAGAAATTCATAATTAGAGAATGGTTATAATAGTGACATGGACATTTCAGTTTATTTTCCTTGATTTAAGAAAGAGAATACAAAGGGGATTATGACATTAGGAATGGGTAATATCTCATTTCTTTTCAAAAAGCCTCTTTTTTAAAAAAAAAGATATCCTCTTCAACTCTATAGGAAAAGAGAAGTGAATATGCCCATGAATATCTTGCAGTTTACCAAATGATATTTAAAAATCACATTTCATATTACTAGGAAAAGGATTGGCTACACTATAGTGTTAGGGTAATTGGTTTTTGAAAGTGAATAAAAGATATTAAAAATCCTAAATTTATTTAAGATTTAAATATTTATAAAATAAAATCCTAGAAGAAGATGTAGAATATTTTGGGATAAAGAAAGTCTTTATAAGTATGACTTGAAACCTTGAAGCCATAAAGAAATGATTTGACAATTTTGACAATAAAAATTAGAATACCCTGAATAGCAAAAGATACCAATAAAAAAAAAAGAGAGAGAAATAATATGAAAAATATTTCCAATACTCAAAACACATTCCTACTGGAAAACTCCTATACAACAATAAATAAATGCAAACAATCCAAACAAAACAATAGGCCAAGAACATAAAATGACAATGAGAGAGGACACAAGAGCAACAAGTTTGGAAGCTGGAAAGAATGTGGATGAGTAATAACACTGAGCCAAGGCACAGTCCATGTACATCACAGAACCCACAAAAGACGCAGGAAGTAGTGGACCAAGTAACATCTGGAAGTGGGGATAAGATGGGGCCACAAAGAGGATGATGAGCTAGAAATCTTAAAAAGGAGAGAGACCCTCCCAGTGCCCTGCCCAACACTCAGTCAGGAGATGGTCCCTCTTCCTTCCCAACAGAAGTTCATTCACTGGAGAAGGGGAAATAGGGAGTCTCCGGACAGGCGGACAGCAGGCACAGTTGAGGGCAGGGATATGCTAAAAAGGGGAAAACAAAGTGAAAAAATACAAACTGAATGGCAAGACCACCCCTCTCCCTATACACAGCTGTCTTTCCTCAAGTTGGGTCCCAAAGACTTAATTAAAGATACAAATATGCAGGGTTTCCCAAGGAAACAGCTGACCAAATCACTCTGTATAAAGACCACAGTAGCAAACAGAATTTCCAAGCAACTTTTTAGTAACAAGGATCTTAAATATGAGCAGTCAAGATTCTTCATATACTTGAAGAAAACCTCTAAAATGAATGATAGAAAAAATAAATAAATAAAGCAAACGATAGAGACCAAAACAAATGATCGGAAGAAAACTTGGAGGGCCCTGGCCGGTTTGGCTCAGCGGTTAGAGCATCAGCCTGGAGACCAGAGAGACCAGAGTTCAGTTCCCACTAGGGGCACATGACAAAAAAAAAAACAAAAAACTTGGAGGAAACAGACTCCTCAGAGAACAAAAAACCTCTATCAAAAGGATAAGAGATGATATTGCAGAATAAAATGACAAGATGATGCTATATAAAAAAGGAATATTTGGAGACTAAAAAAAAAAATCTCTGAAAATCAAAATATAGCAAAAATACGCTCAAACTATGATAGCAAAAACACTGTAGTTGAGGAAATCTCTCAGAAAGCAAAGCAAAAAGACAAAGATACAAAAATAGGAGAGATAAGGAAAATCAGATTAGTCCAGAATGTCCAACATTTGACTCATAAAATATTCAGAAAGAGAAAACAGAGAAAATAGGAGGGGAGGAAATTATCAAAGACACAATTGGAGAACTTGACATCCAGATAGAAAAGGACCACTGAATATTCTTTTCTGTTATGGGTAGGCAGTTACTTGGGTATTTCCTTCACCATAATTCATTAAACTGTGTATTTATGAATTTATGGAATATGCACTTTTCTGTGCATGTGTTACATTTGACAATATCTTTTTTTTGTTGTTGTAAATCCTCACCTGAGGATATTTTTCCATTAATTTTTTTTAAGACAGAGTGGAGGAAGAGAGAGATGGGGAGAAAGGGAGAGAGAGAGAAAGAGAGAGAGAAACATAGATGTGAGAGAGGAGACACATTAATTGGTTGCCTCCCGCACACGCCCCCAAACAGAGTTGGGGAATCGAACCTGCAAGCCAGGTATGTGCCCTTGACCAGAAATTGAACCCCTGACCCTTCGGTGTGTGGGCCAATGCTCTAACCACTGCCAGGGAGCCAAGATTTTTTTTTTTTTTTTTTATCCTCACCCGAGGACATTTTTCCTTTTTTTTTTTTGTTCAGGTAGAGTGGGAGGGAGAGAGAGGAACAGAGAGAGAGAGAGAAACATCGACGTGAAGGGACACATCGAGTGGCTGCCACCCGCACAACCGACCAGGGGACAAACTGCAACCGAAGTACATGCCCTTAGCGGGAACCGAACCCGGGTCTCTCCGGACCGCAGGCCGACGCTCTAACTGCTGAGCCAAACCGGCCAGGGCACCAAGATTTTTTTAAGGGAGAAAAAAAAAGAAAAGGCCCACCAAATACCAACACAGTGAATTAAAATGACACATCATGAAATTTTAGGATACTGACTGTAAAAGATCCCATAAGCTTCCAGAGAAAAAAGAAACAGGTTTCAGACAAAGGATGAATTCACAAATTACCATGGCACTGTGCCTCTCTCTCAACAGTAATTCTAAAGGGTGACAGACAATGGAGCAATGCCTTCACAATTCTGAGGGAAATCTATTTCTAACCTAGAATCCTATGCCTGGCTATATTCTCAATAAAATATTAGGTTAGAATAAAAAGATTTTCAGACATAGTCTCTAACAATGACTTCCTAAGCATCCTTTTCTAAGGAGGACCTGACCCACCGCAATGAAGGAGTAAACCATGCCAGAGGAAGAGAGATCTGAAAGAGATCCAAAATAAGGGAGCAGTGGAGGGAATCCCGGGATAAAGGGGAAGGGGAATCCCCAAACTGAAAGTGTATGGAAGGCCCTAAGTGATTAATTAGAATACAAAAGAGGGAAGAATCAAAGATTACTTCCAGGGGTCTGGCTTGAACAAGTGGTAAAGAAGCTTGTAACTAGATAAGAGACATCGAATGAGCAGGTATGAGAGCAAGTATGCTTTTGATACACCAAGCTGGAGTGGAGACAGTGAGTGTGAACATACTTGGGCATGGAGCTGACGTCTAGGCTAGGTGTAAGTTCAGGGGTGTCAGTGTAAAGATGGCAACCTAAGTTCCCAGAGTGGAAGAGATCACCCAGGAACCAAGTATAGAACTGAAAGAGAGCCTAGGACAAAGCCCTGAACACTCCCAGATTTAAGGATGGGGCAGAAGAGATGCTGGCAAAAGAGGGGCCAGAGATCCCTGGCTGGTTTGGCTTAGCAGCTGGAGTGTAGGCCTGTGGACCAGAGTCCCGGGTTCAGTTTGCGCTAGGGGCATGTACAAAAAAAAAGGGCCAGAGAGACAGGGAGAAAACTAGAATGTGAGGGTGTCGGGAAAGCCAAAAGAAGAGATTACTGGAGAAGGAGGGCATGTTCAACAGTCAAGGAAGAAAATAATTCAAAAGTGTCCAATGAATTTGGTGATAAGAGGGCATTGCAACAAGGGCAGCAATTTTTCCCTATTAGATTATCAAACATTAAACAGATTTTATAGTTAAGAAGCTATAGAGCAATGGTACTCTCCTACACTACTGGTAGAAATAAAAATAAGCCCCACATTTTTGACAAGTAATTTGGAAATGCCCATCAAACGTACAATATGTATATAATCTCTAACCCAGAAATATTTTTCAAGCTATTCATCCAACAGATATACTGGTACAAATATGCAAAGTAAGTACAAGAATGTTCAATGTACCCTTTGGCTCAGCGGTTAGTGTCGGCCTGTGGTCCAGAGAGACCCGGGTTCGGTTACCACTAAGGACATGTACCTCGGTTGCAGTTTGTCCCGGCCCTGGTTGGGTCGTGCAGGAGGCAACCACTTGATGTGTCCCTTTCATGTCGATGTTTCTCTCTCTCTCTCCCCCCCCACACACACTCTATCTGAACAAAAAATGGAAAAATGTTCTCGGGTGAGGATAAAAAATAATAATAATAATAAAAAATTTGCCCTGGCCGGTTTGGCTCAGCGGTTAGAGCGTCGGCCTGCGGTCCTGAGAGACCCAGGTTCGGTTCCCGCTAAGGGCGCGTACCTCGGTTGCAGTTTGTCCCCGGCCCTGGTCGGTTGTGCGGGTGGCAGCACTCGATGTGTCCCTTTCACATCGATGTTTCTCTCTCTCTTCCTCTCTCTCCCTCCCACTCTACCTGAACAGAAAATGGAAAAATGCCCTCCGGTGAGGATTAAAAAAAAAAAAAAAAAAAATTTAATTACATGAATCAATGGATGCCTATGCCATTGCTCATACATGAAATAGATATGATTGTACTAACTCTACCTGAACAGAAAATGGAAAAATGCCCTCCGGTGAGGATTAAAAAAAAAAAAAATTTAATTACATGAATCAATGGATGCCTATGCCATTGCTCATACATGAAATAGATATGATTGTACTAACATAGACTGTATTCATGACATAGTAAGTGAAAATGCAGTATATAGTCCCCATGTTTCTAAAATGTGTATATAGCTATAGATGTACACACTTTAATATAATGACAGTATAAATATGTTTGTATATGTATTCATACAAAGACAGAAATATAAAATCCATTAGAGGTAAAGTCTATGAAATGGCACTTGGGGGGCAAAGCAGGGATTTCACTCTTCTACTAGCTGGATTTTTTTTTTTTACAAGAGTGTATTCTTTTTATACATTTTCAAAGATAACATGACGGGATAAAAGAAACAACGTACTGCTAAGACAACAGTGTGGAAGAAATGAGACAGGCCAGCGGTCCTACCTTACCTTCTCTCAGGCAGGTTCTCAGAAAAGACATTGCTGACAAAATCTTGCAGATGGAATTTTGGGCAAGATGCCCTGTCTTCCCCACAGTCCTCCAAGTGCACAGAGAGGAACAGGTCATTCAGAAGCTGCAGCACCTGTGACTGGGGCAGGGCCTTCTCCGTGCAGATGTTGAGGGCTGCGTAGAACACGCCCTCCAGCCACTTGATATTGAGGATTACTCCGCCTACGCATCAATGACCAGGGAAAGACCAGTTAGTGCCACCAAAAAACGTTTGCAGGGAACCTAGGACAAAAACCCCAGACAGTGAACAGCTACCTTTTTTCCAAGACGAATGGGTCACATGAACCTTGAGATAAGCAAACACTGCCCCGTCCCTGGGCCAAGCCCTGTTTGTGACCTTGAGAACACATCATATGTTGAGCCTGCCTCAGTAGGACAGGTATGACTAATGTGAATACTGCTAATGGCAAAAAGCATCTCTAGGCCTTTCTACAATGGTCCTTGGCAATAAAGAAAGGACTAGGGAAAACTGCAAGATTAGAGCAGGGAAAAACCATTTACTCCCAGACACTACATCCTCCCGCTTAAATAGGCTCTCCCCTCCAGGTGTTTCCGATTCATTCTTGAGAGACACATAGATTGGCTGAGTCCCTCTCAAGGCCGAGACCCCCGCGACCCCTCGGAAATCAAACCTACAACCCTGGTTCTTGCCCTTGACCAGGAATCGAACCCAAGACCCTTCAGTCCTCCAGCAACGCTCTAACCGCTGAGCCAAATCAGCCAGGACTCCAATTCATTCTTAAAGGGTCCAAATATTCAGACTTCTCAGACTTCCCTAATAAGGACTGCTTTTTGCCACCAAAGCTGTTCCTGTGCAAAACCTACATAGCTGAGAATATATCTAGCTTGTACTGTACCCCCGAGTCCCCCCAACTCCCCCAACACCCCCACCCCCCAGCTACACACACACGCACACACACACACACACGCACGCACACACACAGGGAGCTAGTAAGATAGCAACAGGCCAAGAGGAAGGTAATTTTTAAGAGTGCCAAAACTCGGGGAAGCCATTACCAGCGGGGTTGTAGGGGCAGGTCGCCTGGAGAATCACAGGATCTTGGAGAGCAGCTGTGACTTCCTTGTTGCCCGTCCAGATATTGGCAAAACCTTCAACACACTTATACTGAGGCCGCAAGATATTGGTGTGGTTCAGAAGCCTTTTCAACCTGAAAGGAAAGCCACCAAGACAGGGAGTGCAGGGCCAGGACTGGAATAAACCGCCCGAGCCACTGAGTTCACATCCAACCCCAACCACAGACATCCCCCACCCCTCACCCCACACAGCACAGGCGAGGTTAGGGCTCAGGACACGACCTAGTTGGATTGTTTAGCCATCTGCCTGACAAACACTTACTGAATGTTATCACTTGCTGGGCACTGGCCTAGATACTAGAGATACAAAATCAACATCTGACATGCTCTCAAATCACTCTTCATGCTGTTGACTGGTGGTTTCCCTTCTCACTGGTGCACAAGGGGAACTTGAGTCTAATGCAAATAGTGGGAGGCAATGCTCTATTGCAGTTCTAAATATTTGCACATTAAAGGAAACGTCCCCCCTGGCCGGCTTGGCTCAGCGGTTAGAGCGTCGGCCTACGGTCCAGAGAGACCACAGTTTGGTTCCCGCTAAGGGCACGTACCTCTGTTGCAGTTTGTCCCCGGTCCTGGTTAGGTCGTGTGGGAGGCAGCCACTCGATGTGTGTGTGTGTGTGTCTCTCTCTCTCTCTCTCTCTCTCTCTCTCTCTCTCTCTCTCCCTCTCTCTCCCCCCTACTCTATCTGAACAAAAAATGGAAAAATGTCCTCGGGTGAGGATAAAAATAAATAAATAAAGGAAACGTCCCTCCCACAGGTGCAGTTTGCAGAGACGTGGGGAAGACACAATTAGAAAGGCTGGCTGGGTCCTGCACACGAAGCTGCCACCACCGTACTGCTGGGAATGACCACCTCCCACCAGCAGGAGCTGAGCGGGGGTGGGAGGCAGAAGCCAGGGCTGAGGAGACAGAGTAGGTCTGCCAGTCTGGGGCTCCCTCTGAGGAGGTACCTGGGTATCGGGACAGCAGCTACAAAGCTGTACACAATGCAGCCTTTCCCAAAGCTGGTGTGTGTTTCTGTGCAGATATTGGGCAGCTGAGACGGCAGGCAGCAGAGGAATATCACGTTGGCCCAGGTCACCAGAAGAGAGTTATGGTAGAAGCACTGGATCCCCAGCTTCCGCAACTCATCTGGGCAGGATAAAGGAAGACAGAAAGATCACAGTGCAGAGGAGTTGGACCTGAACATCAACTGCAGGCAGAGGAAGACAATTATTTTATCTCAACCCCTGTCACATACATGAGAAGAAAGTCCCTCATGCCATCTGAAACCACGCTGCAAGGCCCTCCCCTGCCCGAGCAGCCAGGGCCACCACCGCAGCACGCGAGACTACGAGACCTTCACCCTCGCCTCAGATGTTAGACTCTTTCAGATTGTTTTTCCTTTTAGGAAGAAACTAATCTGAAAGAAGCCTTCTGCTGCAATTTACTGAAATTCTATCATATGCTGGATAATATACAGAGTACTTTTACATGCATTATCTAAGGGAATCCTCACAAGGACCTTATGAGGCAGAGACTAGTATTTTGTTAAATGTTTTTATTGACTTGAGAGAAAGAGGGAGGGAGGGAGAGAGAGAGAGAGAAACATTGATGTGAGAGAGAATGTGCAAGGAAATCCAATAAAGCACAATTACATAAATTATACAGCCATATTTCATAATACCATACAACCTTACAGTCATGATTTTGAAGAATGTTAAATAATATGAGAATATGCTTATAATACATTAAGTGAAAAAGCAGAATACAAACAACTCTGTAGTATCAATTACTGATATAATCTGATCTAATCAGAGAACAAAACAGGAAATGATATCCCTGGTAAGGGCATTATAGGTAGTTATTATTTAGTTTCCTATAGAGTAATTTTAAAATTTTTCTAAAATATGCATATTTAAATTTATAAATTTATTGAAGCATAATTTACATGCAGTGCAACATGAAGATTTTTTTTTAATCCTCACCAGAGGATATTTTTCCATTGGTTCTTAGATAGAATGGGAGGGGGGAAGGAGAGAAAGAGAGAGAGAGAGAGAGAGAGAGAGAGAGAGAGAGACATCGATATGAGAGAGACACATTGATTGGTTGCCTCCTGCACAACCCAGGGCTGGGAATTGAACCTGCAACTGAACCAGCAACTCTTTGGTCCGAGGGCCCACACTCTAACCGCTGAACCAAACCTGCCAGGGCACAACATGCAGATCTGAAGCATACATTTGATCATTTTTGACAAATGCATACACCCATGTAACTCAGACCTCTTTCAAGATCTAGAACATTTTCATCTCCCCAGAAGGTTCCCTGGGGCCTCTTCTCAGTTAATCTCCCCCAGAAGCAATCATTCTGATTGCTACCACCATAGATTAGTAAATGGAATCAAGATAAAACATTTTTAAAATTTAGTAAATATTATTTGTAAAAACACAAAGCCAAATGTTTGGAACTGGATAACACCTTCCAGACTCTTAACTGGTCCAGTTAGATGTGAACTCTGTTTAGAAAGCTTCATTGCATCAGACTCAGAAAGATATCTCACCACCAAAGGAAGGATGAGTGATGGCTATAAAACATTTCAGTGGAGAAGAAAGTTGTTTTAAGGAACAAGTTGAAAACCATCATTCCAGTTTTCTCAGGGCTCGGAAGCTGAGAACGCAGCACATTACACACAGGGAGTCCCCTTTCAAGGGACCCTTTCACAACGGCCTCGTCAACACTTAACAAGCCCACCCAAGCCCCTTTCTACAGCACACTGCTCCCCACCTAGGGTCTCTGGCCTCCGAGTGGAGATCCGCAGCCTCTCCGCAGGGATGGGGACAAGCCGAAGCAGTACACGAGCCAGCTGCTTCCCAAGGTGACCGCCTCCAATGATGCCCACCTTTAACTCATCCTCATCAGGATCACTGGCAGCCGATCCCACGAAGGGATATCTGGAAGTTTCCTTCTCACGTAATAGTTTTCTGGAGAATGAACACACAGATACATACGTAAATACACGCTCATCCTGGGGCTCTTCTTGACTGCCAACTTCTGATGCTCTCTGTTCTAACTCCTCCTATGGCAGCCTGGTGGCCCCTTGAGTCACTCAGAGATGAGGCATTCCCATTATGTGCCACTTGTGCAGCACCACCAGGGAATGAAATGTTCTCCCTGAGTGAATTTTCCAGAAAGTAAAGCATACCCCTTCGAAGGACCCAGCCTTGTTTAAAACATTTTTAAATGAACATTTTTTGTTTGTTAAAGGTGTTGTGTGCATTTCCCTGCTTCTTAAACACAGGGTCTGGATGTGAAACCGGTTTCTGACTCAGGACCATCAGTGCGAACAGACAGTGTGGGCCTGTTCCTCATTTCCTGTGCAGACAGCGGTGGATTTTCACTGTCGTCCTGCTAAGCACACCCGTCTCCTACCGTACACCTATCCTTTCTACTTTGCTATTTTGGTTGTGCACAGACCCAGGAAACCAGGTAACTTAGCTTTTTTCAAGCATATGATTTATAAAAGAAAATGGTTTATAATGTGGGAAAACAGACCTTAGAAATTGAGGATCAAGGATTAGAACCCTCTCTTTCCAGAGGTTTACTTACTATTTGTTCTGGATGTATTTCCTTGGCCCGAGATAAACAGTCTGACCTCAGAATACACAAGGCATTGTTTTATATTGTTATATGACAACCTTATATCTGTTCCATATTTCTGTGAAAATTGGAGTTTTTATAAATTAAAGCTCCAAAAAAAAAAAAAATCAAAAGTAAAGCTCTGGAGTTTCCATATAGGCATCACAAGCACATTCTACGTAAGGCTTGTCTCGGTTGCCAGGAGAACATTTCCTCTCGGCCTGAGCCTTCCAAATATAAAATGCCTCCTGGTCGTCTCACATACCGGTTTCTCACCACTCATCTTGGATTCAACCAGTATGTTTGTGCATTCTTATCAGTCAGCCAATCAGCAAACTCATTGAGCAGCCTGACTCCTTGGGTATGTATTGTATCTATAACATGTTCAATTCAGATGTGGTCCCATCAACAAGGCGTTCATCTGATTTCAGAGAAAAGCAAACTGAGAAGTAGACTGCATTGGGAGAGGGCAAATACTCCACGAACGACCTAGAGTTGCAGAATCTGGGAATCTGGGAGCTTAGTCCCAGGTACCCGGCTCTCACATGACTTCTATTTAAGTGTCTAAAGCCACATTGCACAAACATATCAGAAGCCAGAACTGGGCTGAGAGCTTCTCTGCAAATCAGTGTTTCTGGTTTCAAGCAAGTCATCTGGTCATAGGGACCCCGAAAGTCCCAGGTGCTTTCCTGTGAGGGAGCATTCCACTCTTAGCTCATAAAAAGAAACTCACTCCATCTTCAAGGAATGACAAGTCATTGGTAGCTGCGGAAGACAAGCTGGTAATCTCCATGAATGAATGAATGGAGGGATGAATGAACTGATCATCTGATCAATCCATCCACTGAAAGGAAATCACCACTAATCCATGCTTTATCACAGAACCATAGCCAAGAGACCCTAGTATGCATTTCTCTTGTGTTTTCAGACCAGGAGTGTTAAGACTGTGGGTTGGAAAAGGTAGGAAGACACTTACCAAAGTTATCCTCCAATATAAAAAGTTAAAGCCATTTGGATTCTTTGCAGTAAGATTCTTCTCCATCTGCCTGGCCCTGGAGACCTCACTTACCTCAAATTTTTGAGTAACTTGCAAAAGAAGGTTGCATGGGCACAGGCCTTGATCATTCGCCCCAGATAACGACCCTGCAAATACAGCCAGCATCGTTCTTCTTCTTCGAGCCCATACTCAAACGTCAGGGTCTTGAGGTCCTCTAGCAAGTCCATCTCCAAGCCACTATCTCCTGCAGCGACAGACAGCAATCAGTTTGGCTCCGTCCTGGAAGAGGAGGGAGTACATGCAGGAGGGTGTGTGTGCCCAAGTTGCAAGCTCTCGTGGGCGTGGGCCTCGGCACCTCCCTCCTCCCGTTCTGAACTTGCAGTTCTCATCCACTCTCTGTTCCGGTGTGAGTCCTGGGCACTGACTGCTCATGAATCGGAAATACCTGGATTCATGAAAAACCTGAACAGCAATCCAAAGCAATGTCCGCCCATAGACACCTCTCAGCAGATGCATTCACATGAGCAATGGGATTCACAGGTGCTTGGGCTAGGCCTTCCTCCCTCCCACACCCTCCTGTTTTAGAAATAGGACTGAACACTTAGACCACATTTCAAAGAAATTCTTCCCTTTCACTAATCCCTGTGTTCCCCCACAGAGTAGAAAGGAGCCCAAGCTAAATGTCATGGTCCCTTGTCTAGAGCTGGGACATCTAGATCTTAGAAAATGAAGCCAAAGTAGTATAAGCCATTTACATCTCTCTCACCAACCCAGCTGAGGAGATGGCTCTGCTCCTCGTTACCTCAGGGTAAGAACTACGTTTCCAGGGAGAGCTACCCAAGAAAATTGTCATTATGACTCCTTAGCTACCGAATTGCTGTCTCGGAGTCTTAAAGGGCCAGCCCCACTTGACATGAGAACACGCGGTCCTCTCACTCTCCCGGAAGGACCACACCAGGGCAGTACAAGGCCCCCCTTTCCCGCAGAAGGTTCTGCGCGTCTACATTTTCTGTAGACTGGAATGCCATGCAGGTCTCACCTCTACTCGGGAGTTATTTTTCAAACCCCTTCTTTTTGTGTTCAAGAAATGAATGAATAAGACCAGTTCTGGGAATCTAATGCACATCATGGTGACTATAGTTAATAATACTGGATTGTATACTTGAAATTTACTGAGAGTAGATCTTACGTGTTTTTACCACATACATACACACAGAAGTTAACTGTGAGATGATGGATATGTTAATTAATTTGACTGTGGTAATCATTTCACGATTATCATGTTGTATGCCTTAAATATATATAGTTTTTATTTGACAATTATATCTCAATAAAGTGGGGGAAAATATCAGTGATATTCAAAACTGTAATCTATTTTATAATAATGGTGAAATTGAGACCAGAATGCAAAACTACTCATCTCTAATCTGCATTTAAATAAAAAAAATTGTTACTGAGGTGAAATTCACATAAGTTGGCCATTTAAAAGGGAACAATTCAGTATATTCGTAATGTCGTACACCCTCTGCACCTCTCTGGTTCCAGAACATTTTCATTACCTCCCACAATGGAAACCCTGTACCCATTAGGAAGTTACTCCCTACCCCACCCCCAGTCAGCCCTGGCAACCACCAACCTGCTTTTTGTCTCTGTGGACTTACCTTTTCAGGATATTTCACATGAATGGAATCATACAACACATGACCTTCCATGTCTGGCTTCTCTAGTCCCTTTTATAGAAGGGCTGTTATGTCACTCTCTCTGTCTCTTTAAAAGCAGTCTCCAGCACTTGAAGAGTGTGGAAGTTCTCATCAAGTCTCAGAAATACTTCCTTAGACCAAACAATGGGTAGGTCATCCTAACACTGCAAGTGACACTTCCTGCTCCGAAGGAAAGAGGAACCCAAAGCTCCCAGCTCAGCAGGACCAGTGCAGCACAGGCTGACCCGTCCAGGCTTGCACGCCAGGCCCAGCCTTCCCTTCCAGCCTCCGAAATGGGGAGCCGGTGGCTGTGGCTTTGTAACACATCGAGTGGGCTGGGCGGACCTACATTTCCCAGAATTCCCTGTTTCCAGTTCGGTGTGCCACAGGAGAGATTTCTGGGCCAGATCTGGAGGGTGGAAGTGAGGCAACAGCCAGTTTGTGTTCACGTTTACAAGGGAGGGGCAGGCACTTTGCTGTCTGCTGGTGGCCCTGCTGGTTGTGGGGTAGCAGTTGGGCCTGTGACTACTATTCCTTCCTCTGGAACCTCCTGCGGCTTTTCACACTCCTGGGCCGGGGCTGTTTTTAGTCCATGATAAAGGCCACCAGCGAGCATCTCCTGCAGGACACCCACTTCATCGAGGCTGGAAGCAGTGAGAACTGACACAGGGTCCAGTCTATCCCCGTGGGCTCCAGCTCGTCCTTGCTCGCCCCACTGTCTGTCCACCTTTCTTCCCCACGTCCAGCTTTACCACCAGCCGCGCACACAACCTCCAGAGACTGTTTAACTAACCGCCATCCTTGAGTAAGGTCAAACCCTGTAATGAATCTCACATACAGGTTAGATAGATGGAAAGACAGACAGACACACTGTACAGTCCCAGCGGTCTGCTTCTCTAAATGAACCCTAACTAATACATTAGTTAATAAAGCTATGACTGTTTGAAGACCAGCCAATAACTTGAGCACAATTTAGCAAATTAAACTCCTGTTTCTTCAACAGCAGGAGAGATGCTTAGAAGAAACAAATATGGCCCTGGTCGGTTTGGCTCAGCGGTTAGAGCGTCGGCCTGCGGTCCGGAGAGACCCGGGTTCGGTTCCTGCTAAGGGCACGTACCTCGGTTGCAGTTTGTCCCCGGCCCTGGTTGGTCGTGAGGGTGGCAGCCACTCGATGTGTCCCTTCACGTCGATGTTTCTCTCTCTCTCTCCCTTCCTCTCTATCTGTACAAAAAATGGAAAAATGTCCTCGGGTGAGGATAAAAAAAAAAAAAAACAACAAATATGAAGTTACCTGGAATTGCAGAGGACTGCGAAGTAGAGGAGCGAACGGTGGAGTCCAGCCCCCTTAAAGCCGGATTTCTCAGAGTTGGCATTACCAACATTTTGGGCTGCATAACTGTTTGCTGTCGTCTGTCCCATGATTGTAGGGTGTTTAGCAGCATCCCTTGCCTCTATCCACTACCAGCACCATCCAGTTGTGGCAAAAAAAAGTGTCTCCAGACATTGACACAGGTCTCCTGGGGGCGCAAAATTGCACCCTGCTGAGAACCACACTGCCTTAGAGCATGTCTTGTGATGACAAGTGTCTCCTCCTCTTACCACATCATCCACTCCACGGTCACGGGCCACAGACTCCTACAAGCTCCGAGAAAATCATGCCCTCCTGTTACAGATTAGGGTAATGAGTCCAGAGGGAAAGGGACTCACCCAGCATCACACAGCTTGTCAGTGGTAGAGCTGAGACAAGAGGCCAGATGTTTTGCTCCCCAGTTCAGGGCTCCTTGTTAACCGCACACCCCGCTTTCTTTAAGTACTGGTTCTCTGTACCCGGACGTGTATTGACAGGCTGCTGAATGCACTCACTGAAGCAGACGGGTAGTGGCCCCAAGACACCACGCAATCATTTCTTTGTTTTGCACAAAACACCCAGAAGGAAAGAGAAGGTACCAAGGAAGAAACAGCTTTATTAGGAGTCTAGGCATGTCTGGAGAAACTCAGTTCAGTCACAGAGAAGAGAGGCCAATATTGGTACAGGGCAGGAATCTAACATTACAGAGCACCCTCTTAAAAACCAGTGTCAAACTGAAACCTCCATCTCAATACCCTGAGAGTCAATAATGCTGCTGAGTTTAGTCCTGGTGGAACTTCTGGAAGATCCTCGTGAGACAGCGAGATCTGTGCATCAGGGAGAGCTCCAACACTGCTGAATCTAAGCTCCATGTCAGTGTAGGGTCTCGGGGGAGAAGTAGGGGAAGAGAGAATGGGATGTTCTCATCACGCACACAAGGTCATCTCAGTCTGCAGGTAAGAGGAACCACAACTTCTGAACAGAGACTAGACTGGGGCAGCAGAGGGTCGCTGGCTGAAGAAACGACGTCTGGGCCATCCGTCATAACGTGGAGGGCTCCGTGCAGTCTGGAGTGAGGGCACGTCCAGCAGGTCCTGGCAACACTGGCGCCCCTTCCTGAGGCCCCGACTCCATTCACAGCAGAACTGCCAATGTCCAGCACTAAGTCCAGGGTCACAATTAGCTGAGAGGACCTGAGTGGTCACCCTATAACACCCGCACCTCTTAGTCTAGGAGACTTCTTCAGCAGAGCAGTCACTTTTCTCAGACCAAGAGAGACCCTGTCCCAGATGGGCCCAGTCCAGAAATGACTCCCACCTTCACGCGAGCACCAGGTGGAGGGAATCTTTCTCATGAGTCGCAGCTTTAGATCTTGGCCCTTACATCATGGCCCTTGGACAGAAGATCGGTTGCAAGCTATCTGTGCCCAGGCGCTGGTTTCTGTCCCCAGAGTACAGGTGTCGCCTGTTGATGACAGGTCCAAGTGGTGTGCTGCTGTAACTCTCCCAAAGAAGAGTGCACTCTACTTCCACAGGCAGGAAGGGAAGAAACAAGGTGCGTCTCAGGGTAGCTGATGCCACTTAATTCTTCCACCGAATTTGCTGTGGGAAAAAGAAAGAGCTCAGTTTGCACTGATTCATGCAGAGAGGTGGGGGATGCAATAAAACAAGACGCACAGCTTCATACTGTAGGGAAAAGAGAAGAACAGAGGGGGTGAGGCCTGCAGACTGCCGCCATATCTGGGACTCCAGCAACCTGGCTCACACTGTTTGCCCTGTCCTGGTGACTCCCTGAGGCCCCGCCCCACCCAACTTTCAGGCCCACCCAAGCTGTTGCCAGTGGTTTTACCATAGGAATGGCCTGTGTTGGATCCTGTTTCAGATTTTCCTAAATTCTCTCAAACAAGCAGCATCTGCTCTCAGCGAGCCCCATATCTCTCGTTAAGTGGCCCCAGGCCTGGCACTAGAAGCAGCCAGCCTTGGTTCACAACTTGGCTTTGCCTGGGCACCTCCAAGCTCAGCACAAGAAGCAGTCATCTGCAGACCGCTTTGTAGCTTATGCCTGGTGGCCCTGGATAAAAAGCAGCCAGTGGCTGACCTTGCCCCAGAGCCAGCACACCCAGTGGACAGCTTCAGACCACATCGAAGCACCACCACCCAACCACCTCCACAATGACACAGTCAATGAGTGGACTCAGTGGCTACCTGAGTCCTGCTGAAGTAAGTCTTGCTCTACATGGTGGACTGCTACACAGCTCATCATCCAAGGCAGTCAGAGGTCAGTGGTCAGTGGGTACAGCCAGTCCTTACAGCTGATCAGCCTGAGTAAAACCCTCTCATTGACGTGCCAACAGCAACAGCAAGACTCAATTACAACAGAAGGGTGTAAAGTCCACACGAGGGGTACACCTCGAGGGCCCAGCTGAGAGACCAGGGAGGCTGTGCCACTAAACCCTACAGGACACCTACCACAGGCCATCCTAGGAAGCCCAGGAGACATAGCAACTCTACCTAATACACAGAAACAAACACAGTGAGGCAGTCAAAATGAGGAGACAAAGAAACATGTCCTAAATGAAAGAACAGAACAAAACTCTAGGAAAAGAACTACACAAAATGTAGATAAGCAATCTAACAGATGCAGAGTTCAAAACACTACTTAAAAGGATGCTCAATGAATTCAGTGAGGGTCTCAAGAGCATAAAAAAGGACCAGTCAGAAATGATCGATGCACTGACTGAAATAAAGAATAATTTACAGAGATTCAATAGTAGAGTAGGTAAAGCCAAGAAGCAAACCATTGATTTGGAATATAAAGAAGCAAAAAACACCCAATCAGAACAGAAAAAAGAAAAAAGAATCCAAAAAAATAAGGATAGTGTAAGGAGCCTCTGGGACAACTTCAAGCGTGCCAACATTCGCATCTTGGTGGTGCCAGAAGGAGAAGAGAAAGAACAAGAAATTGAAAACCTATTTGAAACAATAATGACAGAAAACTTCCCTAACTTGGTGAAGGAAACAGACATACAAGTTCAGGAAGCACAGAGAGTCCCAAACAAGATGAACCCCAAGAGGCCCACACCAAGACACATCATAAGTAAAATGCCAAAGGTTCAAGACAAAGAGAAAATCTTAAAAGCAGCAAGGGAAAAGCAGTTAGTTACCTACAAGGGAGCTCCCATAAGAATGTCAGCTGATTTCTCAAAAGAAACTTTGCAGGCCAGAAGGGAGTGGCAAGAAATATTCAGAGTGATGAAAAGCAAGAACCTACAACTAAGATTACTCTATCCTGCAAAGCTGTCATTTAGAATCGATGGACATATAACGAGTTTCCCAGACAAGAAAAAGCCAAAAGAGTTCATCACCACCAAACCAGTGTTATATAAAATGTTGAAGGGTCTTCTTGAAGAAAAAGATAAAAAATATGAACAAACAAAATGGCAATGAATACATATGTATCGACAATTGAATCTACAAACAAAATGAACAAGCAGAACAGAAACATTCTTATAGATACAGAGAACATTTTATTGGTTGCCAGATGGGAGGGAGAATAGAGGAATGGGTGAAAAAGGTGAAGGGATTTAAGAAGTACAAACTGGTTGTTAGACTGAGGAGGAGGGGGTCAATAGGGAAAAAAGGAAGAACATCTGTAATACATTCAACAATAAAGATAAGTTTAACAAAATAAATAAATAAACAAATAAAAAAAAAAAGAATAGAGGGGGAGGGGGAGAAATTTTAAAAAATATGTGGTGAAGTCCATTTCTTCAGTTACAAATTACACTCCTATGCTGCATCTCACAAGCTTGAGTTTGGACATTTATTCTGGTCCTGCCCTCCTCGGGGCCAATATTCACGAGCTTCCAATGACCCCAGGTAGGTCCCAAAACATCTAACGGGGAACTAAGATCAACCTTAACAAAAAGCTCAGCAATGCCGTGCTATGAGAGACAAGCAGCTGTGTTTCCCCAAATAGCTAAAAATCCATTTCATCCCCTTCTTACTTCCAACAGGTAGGTCATATCCATCCTGGGATTTTTTTTGTTTTTTGGGTTTTTTTATCCTTACCCGAGGACATTTTTGCATATATTTTCAGATAGAGCGGGAGGGAGAGAGGAAGAGAGAGAGAAACATCAATGTGTGAGAGAGACACATCGAGTGGCTGCCACCCACACGACCCCAACCAGGGCTGGGGAGAAGCTGCAACCAAGGTACATGCCCTTAGCAGGAATCGAACCCGGGACTCTCTGGTCCGCAGTCCGCCACTCTAACCGCTGAGCCAAACCAGCCAGGGCCATCCTGGGATGTTTTGAATCTGTAATATGCTTCTATACTGCCAGTCTTAGATCCTCAGAGCTGCTAAGTTTAACAATTGTCAGACCATTATAGTTAAGTCTCAGCTGGGGGTCCCCAGATCACCCTTATACACACTCGATGCTACTTTGTGAACTGTCTCCCAAGACTGCTAGAGAGCAAAGCTGCAGCTGCTCACCGAGCTGTTGAGAATGGCATCGATCTTCTCCTCCTCTGCAGATCCTTTGTCCACCTTACTCCTGTATGCTAGCAACTGCTGGCGGTCCTTCAGGTCCCGGCAAGTCTGTACACCAAAACAGACAAGCAATAAAACCCCAATCAGCCTTCTCTAGGAAGGTCCTTCTTTTTGTCATTCCCACTTCAAGCCAAGGTTCAAGAAGAGGCTGGATGACAGTGGGGTCAAGCCCTCACAGAACTTCATGTTGGAGTGGAGTCCACAGAGCCTATGTGGCTTGATTAAGTTCTGTGAGTTCTCTGAGTGCAACTAATTTATAAGAGCCCAGAGAAACCAGTCAGGAGGCTGGGAAAATAACACAGGAGTGCTGGACTCCAAACTAACTCTTGCCAGACCATTGTGTCCATTAAGTAAAAATTGATGACAGCAGCTCAAGATCCAGGACAGAGAATCTCATAGCCTGGACTCCCACTGAGGGCCTAACTCAGAGTTCTTATTTCTTGAGGACTCACATCAATGACGACATCGTGGCACTTGAACTTGGTAGCTAAGTTCAACTTTGTGTCCACATCTTCCACGAGATTGACATACTCCTGTAATATCTGTGGGAAGAGGTACTTCTGATTAATGATTCTCAGACCTAAAAACACAGAACTCTGAAAAGTAGAAAAAAATATCCTAAAGAAGGCAAAAGAGTTTGTCTACAACATCTGATGTCTACAAGTGCCATCGTCAAACACAGGACCAGCTCTGCAACAGGAGATGAGGTGGACCCCATGCAGCATTCCGTGCTCCCCCAGGAACGAAGAGAAGAGCATGCTCCTCCACCGCCTAGAGCTGGAGGCCTATGCCAGCACAGGCATGCCCCAGTCCGACCCAGCACTGTGCCTGCTGCTCCCTGATGTCCCTTCTCAGTGAGTTCTCCTTTTGCATCATTTCAACAGTACTCCACACGGGCTAAACACAGTGGATGCTCCTCAGAGAGGGCAGATTACTTCTAAGGGGCAGGGAGAACTTTTCTCCTGTCCTGTCCTATCTCAAGACCCAGTATAGCCATTATGTTGCCTTTAAGGGAAGAATAGAACAGGTCAGGTCTCCTATCACTGACAAGTAAGAGGCTACAAGTGAGATGTCCCAAAGGATCCTGTCCCCAACTCTCTTTAGAAGCCATTACCTGGACAGGGGCACTGTTCTTGTGAAGAATTTCCACAACCCGATGGAAGCCAATGGGTGCTCTCTTCTTGGTGTAACCCAGCCAGTTCTGAAAAAGGAAGATGGCAGGAGCAGCTAGGCAGACATGACCTCAGCACACCCTGAGCTCTTCTCCTGGGATGTATGGTCAGTCCAGAGTAATGGGCAGTGAGAAGGAGGGACTGGGGTGGGGGACAGAGACAAATTTTTCAGAAATGTCAAGACATGTGAGAGGGTGGAAAAGAGTCAGACGTATGAAATAAGGTCTTAGATTTATAAGCACTAATGCAGAAAAGTCTGTGAAACAGCCAAATGGAGTAAGTAATTTACTTAACACTTGTAGTATGAATGTATCTGGGTAGAAAAATCCTATCCTCTGCATCTTTACATTTATATAAAGAGGTTTCTTTGTAAATTCATGAGGAAAGATCTAGAAAGCACCCATCAAAATTTTAATGGCATTTGCCTTGAGGAAGGGAGAGACATAGGAACAGGCAGGCAGGGAAGAGAAAGGTCCCTCTTTATACTTTCACACAGTGTTTGATCTGCACACAGGCATGTATTGCTTTGGTAGCTAATCAAATAGCTAACAAAGGGGGAAAAACAGAAAGTTCTCAAACGTACAATGAAAAAAATCAGTATTTAAAATGTCAACCAAGAGAGACATGACAACCAAATGTAACGCAAGATCCATGACTGGATCCTGACAGCAAACAAACACAAAAACAGCTTGAAGGTGCCAATTTAATGCAGATGACATACAGATGACAATAGTACACCAACGTTCAGCTTCTTGACAGCAGTTACAAAGGAGAAATATGCTCAAGTATTTAAGGGAGAAGTGTCACGATGTCTAAAACTTACTTTAAAATGGTTCAGCACAAGCAAAATGTAAATTTACTTTCTCTTTTTCTATATGCATAAAAAAAAAGAGTGTAAATATAGCAAAAATGTTAATAAACTAGTGAAGTAGGTAAAGACTATGAGTGTTCACTATACTATTCTTTCTTTTTTTTGTTTTTTGTTTTATTCTCACCTGAGGACGTTTTTCCATTTTTTTGTTTAGATAGAGTGGGAGGGAGAGAGAGAGAGACATCGACGTGAAAGGGACACATTGAGTGGTTGCCACCCGCACGACCCAACCAGGGCCGGGGACAAACTACAACTGAGGTACATGCCCTTAGTGGGAACCGAACCCGGGTCTCTCTGGACCGCAGGCCGACTCTGTAACCGCTGAGCCAAACCGGTCAGGGCATATACTGTTCTTTCAAATGTTCTTTAGGTGTGAAATTTTGGAAAATAAAAAGTTGGAAGAAAGATGTAAGTCCATCACTAGAACTGAGACTCCCACGAGGCCTGAGATAACCAGAGGAGATGTCTAAGGCATCAGCAGCACGAGACAGTCAGGGCACCCACCTTTGTGGTAAAGAGGGCATCTACGTCATGCCAGGCTCGAAGCTTGGCACGGGCAGCCAGGGCAGTCAGCACATACTGTTTATCTGGGATCTAGAAAGCAGAGACCAGGGGAATTTAAGGGGAAGCAGAAATGCGCCAGGGGAGGTACTTGAGAATTCTGGAAAAGACAGGCAAAAACATACCATAGTGTTGACCATGCCCCTTAAAAATCCGTAAGTCTCTCGGGTCACCAGGAACCCCTGGCTTTCCCAGCCCCAGCACTGCAGCAGGCCACTGGGCTAAAGCCTTATCTCACTTCCCACGAACACTTTCCTTTCTGCCTTTGCCTTTGAATATCGCGAGACTTACTGTGCAGGGTTACAAAGCAACATCCACACCACGTGGTTACCCTCACACTACTTTTACCAAAGCACAGACCAGTTTATATCTACCTTAAATGTCTTCTTCAGGTTGACGGGACTGCTGAATGTACCCTAGAATAAAAGTAGAGAAGAAATTTTAAAGTTACCAACTTTCCCAATCTCCCATTTTCTTTTGTACTAACTAGACTTTCTACATTTTACTCTGCAACCATTTCATCCCAGAAATTATTTTAAGAGAACAACTCCTTCAGGTCTTATCAGGTATCACCACAACCCAGCTTAACAAGACTGGGTTAATGGGTAAGGTAATTTCCCCAATTTTATGCTAATTCAAATGTTCACTGTGATTGTTAAATTTTAAAAAACGTGTTCAAATATCCACAGTTACCCAACACCCTGCTGCTCTTCTGTGTCAATCCACCTGCCTCTGTGAGCCTCTGAGCCGACAGTGCTGTGGGACCAGCACTGGTGAGACAGAACATGCTCCGCTGCAGGCCAGCTCCCCGGGAGCCACGCAAGCCTCCTAACCCTCTCTCCCTCCTGGCTCACCCCTGCTGCCGGCCAGCAGAGCCTCCAGGTGGATGTCCGAGAACCACACGCACCCGTGTGAACTGAGTACGTCAGGCTACTGACTTCCAACTACGTTCCTTGTGCAGTGAAGAGTGTGCGGGGTCTTCCCCACGCTGCCTGTACCTCGGGCTCCGTGTAGTGGTAGAAGCAGGAGTAGAAAAGGGTCGTCACTAGTGGCATGTTGAGGATGGACGCTTTGCGGGGGTGCTTCCGGAAGATCTCAGTCTGTCCGGCTGACTCTAGACGGCGGTCATTTGCCTGTGGCGGAGTGAGCCAAGGGAAAGAGAACAATGTCCATGCAGTAGAAGCAGGAGAGACATTTTTCTTTTTAATCCTCACCTGAGGATATTTTCTATTTATCTCAGCTAAGTGGGAGAAGGGAGGGAGACAGAAAGATCAATGTGAGAGAAACACATTGACCAGTTGCCTCCCGCACAACCCCGACCAGGGCCGGGAATGAACTACAACCGAGGTACGTGCCCCTGACCGGAATCCAACCCGCGACTCTTTGGTCCGCGGGCTGACACTCTAACCTCTGAACCAAACCGGCCAGGGCCAGGAGAGAAACTTTTAATACTACAGTAGTGTGTTTCCTATCCTAGGAAAGAGGCAAGGACGAGAAAAAGAAATTGCCTGGGATAACCCAGGGGAGTTTAAAAGCCATAAAATGATGACATATCCAAGTTGGATGGAAAAACAGAGAAGTGGCAATGAAATGGGATTTCTGGGATGAAGAGGAAACACTTCCAGGTTAACAGCAGGTGAGAAGACAAAGGATGCTGAGAACCAGGGGGCGGGGGGACTATCATGCAGAGGGAGAAAACAAAAGGCTCTTAGAGACTGCAGCAGGCAATGACATATATGGGCAGAGCACAGATGTCTTCTGGATGCTGAAGGGCACTGAACTTTGGCACTGAAGCAGAAACATAGATAGGAGAGTCTAACCTCAATGATGATCTGACGTTCCAGGAGCGTGTAATGGTCTTGTATGTGTGCAGAATCTTCTGCTGAAAATGGCAAACTGGTAGAGGGCCAAACGGTTAGTACCTCTTTCTCTACTCAAATAGAAAACAAACCCAGCTAAACCAAATCACCACTCTAAGCATAAGAGGCTCATGGTGCTTCTTAAATCTGATCCTAGTTCACCTTTGGAGCATCCCTAAAAGGCAGAGAAAGAAAGCAGAAAATAGAGCAGACCTTTGGCTGGGATTTTGCATTTAAGGTTTTGCCAACAGAAGAGGGATCCTGAAAGTTGCTTTGTATGTAGTCATTAGTGATTTCTGTTGAGGAATGAGTAAGAATCCTCTCACTGTGGAGTTGTAATGATTGGGGAATGAGTCACTCAGCTAATGAGTGAGCCTAGCCAACAGCCCTTCATCTATATCCCATGGAAGCATTGTGGTTCATGCCTTTGCTTAATGTCAATGTTTAACTCTCCTTCAGGGGCACGTACATTTGTGAGCCATTTTTTTTTATTACAGTTATACAGTAAAGTTAAATTACATGGCATGGTAGTATGTTTGTGGACTGGTAAAGATCTCAAAGATCAACACAAATGTCAAAGGTCCCATCTTCAGCACTACATTATATTTTTACACATGAAGAAGCTGAGGGACAAACAGTGTCTTACCTAAAAGTCATATGGCAAGTCATTGGGTAAGGCCAGGAATAGAAGCCAGATTTTAAACTCCCAGTTCATAGATACATCCTTCAGAAACCGTAGCCTTACTCCCCAACTCACTCACTCCAGGAAAATTCTGAAATTCAATCACACTACCCAGATTAAGTGTGAGCCACAACCGAGTTTTAGAAGAGAGGAAGGGAGATGGCCACAGGTTCGTCCTTCACCACTCCAGCTTTTCTCTCTGCCTACCAGAGGCCACATGACATAACTTAGTATTTGATTTGCTAATGGTTAAAGATTGCATTGACATAAACACATTTCTAAATGTGAAACCCAGAAATCATGTCACATGAGGAATGACTGAAACAACTGTCAACACTGAACCTGGAGAAACAAGGTGCACTGGGTAGACTCCATCCTGCCTTGAAAGACGCAGGGAAGCAATACAGGAAGCACTTTCCAGTCATGAAGGCTGTCCAACAATGACAGAAGCTACTTCCAAGAGCAGCGAGTGCCCAGTCATTGAAGTACCGTGTGGGGTTGGGACTTATATTCTGGTCAAAGCCTGAACTGAATCAGTGGTTCTTGGACTTCAGGGTTTCAAGAACCAGTAACATTGAAAATATACAAGGTAAAGTGTTGCCCACTAAACATGTTTTTATTGATTTTTTTTTTATAGGAAGAGAAGGGAGAGAGAGATAGAAACACCAATGTTAGAGAGAAACATCTATCGGCTGCCTCCGGCACACCCCCTCCGCAACCCACTATTCCAGGATGATTCCCTCACCGGGAATTAAACTGGGACCTCTCAGTCCACAGGACAACACTCAATCCACTGAGCCACACCGGCCGGCCCACTATTTATTCTAACACATATGGTCATAAGAAGAATTACAACCAATTTTACTACCAAAAGCAGGGGGGAAGAGGGCAGAGGGAAAAAAATCCCAGAATAAAAGGCAGTCTTTCAATTAAATAAATGTAGTTTTAGAAAAATACTCTCTACATTGTCTTTATTTTTCTTAATTTGCCACCAATCAATGAACATTCTACTGGAGACTAGTATTTCGAACCACTGGGATAATTTTTAGTGATGCTTGTATCATCTATTGTGTTAGCCTTTCCCTTCAATTATTTATCCATTCCACCCTCTTTTAGTCTCTTCATTCTGCTGCATGAAAGGATTTGCACTTAAAAATATTCATCCCCCATACTTACCCGATGCAGGTCTTAAGAAATTCTTTTCGTTTCTCGGGGTCCTGAATGCTTAAGTGCTCTCGATAATGGGACAGCTGGGAAAAAGCACATACACAGGAGGCTTTGAGGTAGTTTGTCTACCTAGGAGGAGGTGCTCCATAAGTAGATTTTCCACGCTTAAAAACTAAATTCTTCATTATCAGAGATTCTTTCATTTATTTTCACTTATCAAACTTTAAAACAACAAACTATAAGACTGCTGTATGAAAAAAAATTCCTTACAGTTTCAAACCCATGGAGATTAAAAATGGAAACAAAAGCTTTTCAAAATGATTATTATAGATTGCCAATCATTTTCAGTAGATTCAGATAGAGTATTTTTGAGATTTTACCCTGCCTTAAATATTAAGTACGTGTCCTTTTATAAAATATTACTAGAAGCCCTGGCCGGTTTGGCTCAGCGGTTAGAGCGTCGGCCTGCGGTCCAGAGAGACCCGGGTTCGGTTCCCGCTAAGGGCACGTACCTCAGTTGCAGTTTGTCCCCGGCCCTGGTTGGTCGTGAGGGTGGCAACCAATCATTGTGTCCCTTTCACGTCAATGTTTCTCTCTGTCTTCCTCTCTCTCCCTCCCACTCTATCTGAACAAAAAAATGGAAAAATGTCCTCGGGTGAGGATAAAAAATAAAAATAAAAATATTACTAGAAACCATCTTTCTGAATAAGCTGCTGTGCAAACGAGTCTAGCACTGGTAGTTGCCGTGGACATGTGCTGCTTTCACCACGTGTGCAGCTCAGCGGCTCAAGGAACAACCCTGCCACCGACGGTGCTGGGACATTCTGACCCCTGCACTGCATCCAACTTTAAAAATGGATCATTCAAGTTTTAATGATACAATTACATTATGGTAAATTTTCAGGTTTATTCTCATATTCCAGGAGTTCATTCTATGATGGTGAAAATTTGTCAAACACCTATTTTAACATTTTGGCTCTCAGCCAAAATGTGTACTGGGTGTACCACCAGCTTGACCTCTCTTCCTCCTTGACATAGACTGGTTTCTTTTTTTAAATATTTTTTTATTGATTTCTAGAGAGAGAGGAAGGGTGAGGGAAAAGAGAGAGAGAGAAACATTGATGTGAGAGCGAAACATCGATTGGCTGCCTCCCGCATGCCCCCTACTGGAGATCGAGCCTGCAACCCAGGAATGTGCTCCGATTGGGAACTAAATCTGCAACATTTTGGTGCATGGGAAGATGCCCAACCGAGCCACACCAGCCAGGGCTATATCTGGTTTCTTATCCCTCTTAGCTTTTAATATTTTCTTTAGTATTAGAAGCCAAAACCCAAAAGTTCCTACAAACCAGGAATTGAAAACATCCAGAAACAAAAAAGACAAATTACAAATTGATAAGGCTAGTTTACATTCATATTAAAAAAAAATATTTACTCATAGCTCAATAAAAAGAACATATAAAGCCTTGGCCAACTGGCTCAGTTGGTTGGAGCATCATCCCGATAACACCAAAAGGTTACGGGTTTGATTCCCAGTCATGGCATATATGGGAGGCAACTCGTTGATGTTTCTCTATCATATCCTTAGGTGAGGATTTAAAAAAAAAAACATACAAAAACTATAAAATAGCCCGGACAGTGTGGCTCAGTGGTTGAGTGTCAACCCATGTACCAAGAGGTCACTGGTTTGGTTCCTGGTAAGGCACATGCCCAGGTTGTGAGCCAGATCCCCAGTGAGGAGCATGTAGGAGGTGGCCAGTCGATGTTCTCTTTCATTGCTGTTTCTATCTCTCTCTCCCTCTTCCTTCCTCTCACTCTAAAATCAATTAAAAAAAAAATTTTTTTAAACTATAAAATAGTACATCATTTGGATTAAGTTTTTAAGATTCCCAGATGTCTCTTTCTTCTGGATATAATCAATACCAATGGAAAAGAAATAGGTTCAGTCATTCTGGAATCCTGGAGACTGGGTTTTGGCTTAGATTTCTGTTAAATAGGTCCCCAACCGAAACAAAGGCCACACTTACCGCAAACTCTTCTGTTCTATCTAGGAACCTGGAAGAAGCAGAAGAGAGCAGAGTACTTTTATCTATTGACGTGTGGCAGTATAACCTCACAAAATAAGATGACTGCTCTAGGAGAAACACAATTCAAACTCATTTGCCTCCATACACAAGATAGGCCTCTGTCTTCTTAACTTTCTATCACCAGCAACCCTTTGAAAATACATGGTGGATGAGCTACCATTGTTCCTCTGATCTTTCTAGCGGAACAAAAAGCAGGGACAAGAAAGCTCTGCAGGGCACTAATCACTCTGTAAGGTTAACAGGGCTGATGGGACGGCTCAGAGCCTCCACAAAACCTTGGCCCACAGTAGCGTCACAGACTCTTTGAGGAAGAGTAAAGCATTCTTCTTCTCTGCCAACACTCTTGAACAGGTTTTCTACATGTTCTCTTGTTTTCATGTACAGTGTGAAGTGTGTTTTGACTCTCCTAAAAGGCAGTAAGGCCTTGGAGAACAAGGTCTTTGATGTTCTGCTCCCTTCTTGCTCTGACTGTCCACTACAATTAACATCACTCTCTGGCATAGAGGTGGTACCTAACAAAGCCTGGCTGACTGGGGAGGAGGAGGGAGGGAGAGAGAGCAGCCTGCCTCGATAAGTGTGTCTTCTGAAACCTCAAGGCTCACCATTTGTAACCTGACCCTAACCAGGTGACCTGCTTTCCCCACCTTTGCCTTTGGGGCAGCTCATCACTGTGCTGGAGTCACTGGTAACGGGAGTTACCCTAGGCCACATGTCAGCCTCAACAGAGGTTCCAACCCCTTCTCTGACACTGAAGAAAGAACATAATGTATACACACATTTTAATCTAAAGGTAAAATATAGCCCCTACTGAATGGAATGACATAGGAAAGGAAAACATGATAGAAGACACCCCCTCCCCAACCCACTCTCCAGCCCTCAGCAGATATGCCTACCTCTTACCTCTCCACCAGTCAGAATCCTACCTGGTCTTACAGGCCCAACTCATTCCTAACCGCTTCTACAGAGCTATCCTCAAGTGTCCTGGCTAAAAATTACATTTGCTTCTTCTCTTCCACTGTACTTCTCACTACTATCACTGGGACCAGGTATAAAAGATACCTTCATTATAGATCTTCTATTTAAAAAAATTTAAATAGAGCCTGGCCGGTGTGGCTCAGTGGTTGAGCATTGACCCATACACCAAGAGGTCGCCAGTTCAGTTCCCTTTTGGGGCACATGCCCAGGTTGTGAGCCAAATCCCATGGGGGGCATGCAGGAGGCAGCCAATCGACGTTGTCTCTCATCGATGTTTCTGTCTTTCTCCCTCTCCCTCTAAAAAATCAATAAAAGAAAAAAAAATTTTTTAATTCTTAATAGATAGTACTACAGACTAGGCGTTATGCTAAGTGCTTTGCACAACACTAACTCTTCATCTTCATGATGATCTGTGAGGTAGGTTTCATCATCTCCCTTTGACAGATGTGAAAGCTGATACTTGAAGAGGGTGGGTAACTTGCTCAAGGTCACTCATGAATTAGCGGTGGAGCCAGTCTTCAGTGCAGGCATGTTTGACTCCGGAGCCCGGCTCTGCACCACCTGCGACGCGCCCCTTAGCACAGCCTGTGGTGCATTACTGGTTATCCCATCACATTTCAGTATCTTGTCTAATAAGCATTTCCAGAAAAAGCAGATCGTGGCTTCTTTCCTTGTATTCCCAGCGTGCTTTGAACAAAGCACTTAATATACTTTATGGACCAGATGATCAGTTCTTACCTGAAGAGGTCTAAAAGCAGCTTTTGATCTTCTATCTCCTTCAGGAAGTGGATGAGGTGTCTCAGGGCAACTTGTCGCACCTCCAGCTCTCGGAAGAGGATTTCTGACAGGCAGGAAGAAGTTAGGTGGAGAAAGATTAAAGTCTATTACTCAAGTGTGAAATTGGTTTCCCTACTCAAACATTCCAAACATTAATTCCTCAAAGTCAACCAGAAGTTAGAAATGGTTTTTTAGGGTACCCATCCCTATGGCTCAATCCACCATCAACACACTCCACGGTCCAGGGCAAGTCAGAGCCATTGAGTCAGCTTTCAGTTCTCATCACTGCAAACATCAGGTACTCAGCATCAACTCAGACTTCCTCACACCGCACAGCCTGTGTGCCCAGAGGGGCTTTGTAGGTAATGCAGTTATCACACTAACGGTGACCGCTGCCCTCAGAGAGGCGCGGTGCACTCCGAGGTCTCAGGCCAGCCCAGCTGTCTCTAGAGCCGACCTGATGCTGGTCGATGCTGGTATAAAAGCCACAATGCCTTTCCCCCGTCAAAGGCAGCAGGCATAGTGCTGACTGAAGATTTCCCTCAAACCATGCTCACCTTTGCTCAGTGTCCTCTTTAGGAATATCAGAACCTGGAGGAAAAGAGAACAGAAAATGAATTACCCTGTGCAGTCTTTCAAACACAAAGCCCTGCCCTGAGCACCTGACGTCTAGGAATGAGGTCAGCAACTCCTCGGGCATCTTTGCAGGTCCCGACAACAGATTTTTCTATCTGACGTAAGGACAGGTGGTGGACATCTGGAAATGATTGTGTCTTGGGAGTCCACATGCCCGTGCCCATAATGGTAAGAGATACCTCCCTGCTCTCACGTGTCTCCTCCCTCAGATTACAGTAGCCAACCTACTGCTTCTTGGTTATAATCAAGAGTTCCAGTGCCCTGGCTGGGTGGCTCAGTTGACTGGAGTTTTGTACCATATACCAAAAAAAAAATTGTAGGTTTGATTCCCCATCAGGGCACATACCTAAGTTGCAGGTTTGATGTTTCTCTCTTACTCTCCCTTCCTCTCTCTCTAAAAGTCAATAAAATGTCCTGGCTGGTTTGGCTCAGCAGTTAGAACATTAGCCCGCAGACCAAGGAGTCCTAGATTTGATTCTGGTCAAGGGCACGTACCTGGGTTGCTGGTTCAATCCCCAGCCCCAGTCAGGGTCGTGCAGGAGGCAACCAATCAATGTGTCTCCCTCACATCGATGTTTCTCTCTCTCTCTCTCTCTCTCTCTCCTCCCCCTTCCCTCCCTCCTTCCCACTCTATCTGAAAAATCAATGGAAAAATATCTTCAGGTGAGCATTAAAAAAAAATAAAATAAAAATCAACTAAAAAAAACATTTTAAAAAAGCGTCCCACACACAATGCATGTTCTGCCAGCAAACCCTTAAAGAACATTATTACTGAGAATCCCACACGTCAAAAGGAATTTCAGGATCTTTACTTGCCATTTAACCTAAAATGTTAGTCTATTCTGATTGGATTTTCAGAAACTAACGAAAACAATTAAACAACAAACAAAGCCCACAACTCACTGCAGTAATGACGTTTCCGTCATGCATGCTTACTGCTTCTTCCAGGAGTTGTAGCTTGTCCTGTAAGGAGCGGAATCTTTCTAGTGAGCAGACCTGCAGAACAAGAACAGAATTAGTGTGCAGGGCGGAAGACCATGTGCTACATCCCTTTGTTACTGGATACTGAAGAATGGGCAAGAGTGAAAGGAAATGTCCCCAAAGAAAGCCGCTTTATTTTTACACTGTGGTGCCCCGCACAATGTGAGACAGGAGGTTCCCATCACACCCTCTCTAGTCAGCCTTATGCCCTAGAAAATGCCATTTCCTGATGAAGTCTTGCTAAAGTCAACAAGTAGAAATTACTTTTTCTTTTTGAATGCAGTATAAATTACACACAATAAAATCTACCCTATTTTAACTGTATGGTTTGGTAAGTTTTGACAAGAATAGAATTCCATATAATTACTTCCGCAGTCAAGATACAGAACATTTTCATCACCCCAGTAAGTTTCCTTGTCTACTTTGATGACCATCCCCTCCTCCTATCCCCAGCCCTGGCAACCACCCATCTGTTTTCAGTTGTTCAAGCTTTGCCTCTTCTAGAATTTCAGAAAAATAGAAGCATACAAAAGTACTCTTTACTATCTGGCTTCTTTCACTTGATATCATGTTTCTGAGATGAATCTATGTGTTGTGATAAGTATTAGTAGTTTGTTCCTGTTTACTGGTAAGCAGTTTTCCATTGTATGGACATACTCGCATCTATCCATTTAGCTGCGGATGGACATTTGGATTTTCACTTTGAGGGCTATTATGAGTAAAACTGCTATGAACATTTGTGTACAAGTCTTTGTAAAGACATGTTTTTGTTTATCTTGAATTGTAAATGCCCAGGAATGATATTAACTGTATGATTTATGATTAACTTTGTAAGAAACTGTCAGACTACTTCCAAAGCAGTTTTACCACTTTACTTTCTGGCTGGCAGTGAGTTCTAGTTCCTCAACATCCTCCCAATATTTGGTATGACCAGTATTTTTAAGGTAAGCCATTCTAGTGGCTGCATAGAGGTACCACAAAGTTTTACTTCATATTTTCTTGATAACTAATAATGCTGAGCATATTTTCAAGTGCTCATTGGTCAGTCATGTATTTTTTTTGTGATATAACTGGTTAAATCTTATGCCAATTTTTTATTGGATTGTTATCTTATTACTGAAAATAATTTATTCTTTATATATTCTGGATGAAAATCCTTTATAATATATATATTTGCAAATATTTTCTCCCAGCTATAACGGTCTTTTCATGTTTTTAACTGTGCATTCAAAGAACAAAAGTTTTTAATTTTGATGAAGTCCATTTAATCACCTTTTTCTTTTTCTGTTTCTTTTTTGTATGTATCCTACGTAATAAATCTTTGCCTAACCCAAGGTCACAAAGATTTTCACCTACATTTTCTTCTAGAAGTTTTATAGTTTTAGCATTTACTTATATTTAGGTCTATGATCCATTTGACCCATTAGTTATTATGATGTCAATTCTCACAAAATGAATCTATAAATTCAATGCAATAGCAATCAAAATCCCAGAACCTCTTTTGTGGACATTGACAAGCTGATACTAAAATCTATATGAAAATAAAAAGGATCTGCAATAACCAAAACAATTTTAAAAGAGAAGAAAAAAGTTGAAGGACTTATATTACCTGATTTCAAGATTTACTACAAAGCTACAATAATCAAAACTATGGTAATGGCATAAGGATAAACAAATAAATCAATGAACTAGAATAAAGAGTCCAGAAATAGATCAACTGATTTTTGACAAAGGCACCAGGGTAATTCAATGGAAGAAGGATAGTCATTTTGAAAAACAGAGCTGAAAGAAATGGAGAACTACATGAGAAAAAAATAAACCCTAACCCTAACCTCCCACTATGTACAGGGTGGCGCAAAAGTAGGTTTACAGTTGTTCATATAGAAAATAATACCTAATAAATAGTAATACAAGAATAAACTGTGTTTCGCATACTCACAACTCTAAACCTACTTTTGCCCCACCCTGTATAAAACTCATAATGGATCTCAAACCTAAACAAAGATCACTCTCCATCTTTTTTATTTCACTGAAAAAGTTTTTATTTGAGATACTGTATCTTTTTTTTAAGGTCTTTTTTTTTTTTAGAGAGAGACAGGAAAAGAGGGAGAGAGAAACATGGAGAGAAAAACATTGATCAGCTGCCTCCTATATGCCCTCTACTGGTGATCAAGCCCACAACATGGGCATATGAGCTGACCAGGAATCAAACCTGCAACCTTTCAGTGACCTGAAGTTTGGCTCAGTGGTCAGAGCATCGGCCCATGGACCAGAGAGACCCGGGTTCGGTTCCCAATAGGAGCACATACCTCGGTTGCAGTTTGTCCCTGGCCCCAGTTGGGGTTGTGTGGGTGGCAGCCAGTCAATGTGACTCTCTCACATCGATGTTTCTCTCTCTCTCTCTCTTCTTCCCTCTCTCCCTCCCACTCTGTCTAAAGATAAATGCAAAAAATGTCCTCGGGTGAGAATTAAAAATAAATAAATAATAAAAAATAAAAAGTACTTTTCTGGCGTGACTAGTGTGGCTCAGTGGTTGAGTGTCTACCTATGCACCAAGAGGTCACTGGTCTGATTCCTGGTCAGGGCACATGCCCGGATTGTGGGCTCAATCCCCAGTAGGGGGCATGCAGGAGGCGGCCAATCAATGTTGATGCTTCTCTCTTTCATGGATGTTTCTATCCCTCTCTCCCTCTCCCTTCCTCTCTCTCTAAAAAAAAAAATCAGTTTAAAAAAAGGTATCTTTCGCCCTGGCCGGTTTGGCTCAGCGGTTAGAGCGTCGGCCTGCGGTCCTGAGAGACCCGGGTTCGGTTCCCGCTAAGGGCACGTACCTCGGTTGCAGTTTGTCCCCGGCCCTGGTCGGTTGTGTGGGTGGCAGCCACTCGATGTGTCCCTTTCACATCGATGTTTCTCTCTCTCTCTGTTCCTCTCTCTCCCCCCCACTCTACCTGAACAAAAAATGGAAAAATGTCCTCGGGTGAGGATGAAAAAAAAAAAAAAGGTATCTTTCGCCCTGGCCGGTTTGGCTCAGCGGTTAGAGCGTCGGCGGTCCGGAGAGACCCGGGTTCAGTTCCCGCTAAGGGCATGTACTTCGGTTGCAGTTTGTCCCCGGCCCTGGATGGTCGTGCGGGTGGCAGCCACTCGATGTGTCCCTTCATGTCGATGTTTCTGTCTCTCTCTCCCTTCCTCTCTCTCCCTCCCACTCTATCTGTACAAAAAATGGAAAAATATCCTCGGGTGAGGATAAAAAAAAAAAAAAAAAAAAGGTATCTTTCTGCCCTGGCCGGTGTAACTCAGCAGTTAAGAGTGTCAGCCTGCACACTGAAAGATCTCAGGTTCGATATCTGGTCAAGAGCCCGTACCTGGGTTGCAGGTTCAATCCCTGGCCCCAGTCGGTATCGTGCAGGAGGCAATCAATCAATATGTCTCTTTCACATCAATGGCTATTTCTTTCTCTCTCCTCCTCCCTCCCTCCTTTTCACTCTCTCTAAAATCAACGGAAAAAATATCCTCACACAAAAAAGAAAACAGTACTTTTCCCTCACATCCATCACTCTTTCACCATTACCCCATCAAAGTAACAGTAAACTCTGGAGAATCTCAAATTTTGCAGCTGACTTTCCATCTTAGTGAATTTATTTTCTTCCCAAAAACCACTTCATTTAACAAATCAAATTGGAGAGAGAGGTCAAGAAACGTTCTGCGGGAACAAGCTGGCCAGCTTCCCAAGAAGGCCCATAAGACTTCTCTCTCCAGCGGCCTTACCTTCCCCTTCCGAAGGCGTCGCACCGTGTCACTGGGGCTCCAGTCATTGCTGTAGTCCTGGAATATTAATCACACGTGAATCCCAAGAAGTTAAGGGATCAGAATTATCAGTGTGCCAGGTCCTCACCTCAAAATCACTGTCTTAGTCCCTAAAGGGGAAATATTTTGTGGGAGGGAACAGATAGTCTTGTTCTGAGTTTGTGAAGGAAGTAGAACGGAGCCATACAGGCATACAAATCAAAGACAGAATAAACCAGTTCACAAAATCAGTAACCCTATGCCTACTGGTTCAAGATCTCAACCCCTGCATGCAATCAATCCATTTTTGAGACTCAGGAAAGAGGGAGGGAGACATGTTCCTTTTTGGACTTTACGATAGTTTCTTCTTTATAAATCAATGTGCTTTTTTATGTGCTTCATGGGAGTATAAGCTTCATCAAGTCTCCAGACCACACTTATGATCAAAAATTTCAACGTGGTCTTCAAAAGGCAGCATAATGGGGAAGGAACATGGGCTAGGACTGAGTCAAAAAACAGATAATTTTGAGTCCTAGTTCCACTGTTTACTAGCTGTGAGACCCCAGGCAAACCCTAATGATTAGAAATCCAATTTTCTTATCTATAAAAGGGGGTTAAAATAAGAGGTATCCAAAAAGTTGGGAAGATCAAGCAAGATAATGTATGTCAAAGTACTTTAAACTGTGTAAAGTGTCAAACCAATGTAAGCTATAACTCACCCTGTACTCCCCCTTGGGTCTCCCCAGCTCTGGAGCATAGCTTTTGGCAGGTGTGTCCGAAAGAGCTGGAAGAAAACAGACAGCTGGTTCAGAAGGACACCCTCTTCTTGTCACTCCTTTCCTCAACGGCTTCCCTTTGACTTACAGGCTCCCAAGGTATTTTTTAGGGCCCAAAGTAGATCTCGGTTCCTCCCCCAAAGCCAGTATCCCTAGAAGTCAGCCCTTTTCCCTGTAACCAGAATCTACCGCCTACTCAGTATCAGAAAATTTCTCTAATAATGATGATAAATTCAGAAAAATTTTATCAAATCATCTAATTACCACTTTTCTCCATGACCCCCCAGATTACACCCCAGTCAGTAACATCTCCCAAAGTAATCAAGAAAAGAGGGTCAATGCCTACCATCAGAAAGGGACTGGAAACTTCCAAGTCTAGTTCTCCCTAAAGATAAAGAACACATGAGGGAAGAGGTGAACAGTTCAAGTCAGACTCATTCTGATTTGGCTAAGGAAGTAGTGCATATAAAACCTTATTATGGCCTGGCCAGTACGGCTCAGCAGACCGAAGGGTCTCGGGTTCGATTCCCAGTCAAGGGCACAAACCTGGGTTGCAGGTTCAATCTCCGGCATCAGGGCTGTGCGGGAAGCAACCATCAATCAATGTGTCTCTCTCACATCAATTTTTCTCTCTCTCTCTCCCCTTCTCTCCCTTCGACCCTATCTAAAAATCAATGGAAAAATATCCTCGAGTGAGGATTAACAAAAACACAAAACAAAACAAAAAAACAAACAGCCCTGGCCAGTTGGGTTCAGCGGTTGGAGCATCAGCCCACAGACTAATGAGTCGTGGGTTCAATTCCGGTCAAGGGCATGTACCTTGGTTGCAGTTTGTTCCTAACTCTGGTTGGGTCATGTGGGAGGCAACCACTCAATGTGTCTCTCACACATCTATGTTTCTCTCCCTCTCTCTCCCAATCTCCTTCCCTCCCACTCTATCTGAAGATAAATGGGAAAATATCCTCGGGTGAGGATTAAAATAATAATAATAAAAAACAACAACAAAACCTTATTATGCAATAATATATGGGAACTGAAGGCTTAAAAAAGGTTTTATTCAATTTCAGAAATTTGAGATGCCATGAAAAAAAAAAAGCAGGAAGAAAAAATGTTTTAATTACAGTAAAATATACATAACATACAATTTACCACTTTTTAAATTTTTTAATATTTTTATTGATTTTTTAGAGAGAGGAAGGGAATCAAACCTGCGACTCACTGGTCCAAGGGCCGACTTCAACCACTGAGCGAAACCGGCCAGGGCCATTTTAATCATTTTTAAGCCTACAGTTCATTGGCATTGAATACATTCACATGTACAACCATCACCATTATCTGTCTCAAAAACCTTTTCATCATCCCAAACTAAGACTCTGTACCCATTAAACAACAGCTCCCCCTTCCCCCTCACCCCCAGCTCCTGGTCACCACTATTCTATTTTCTGTTTCTATGAATCTAACTATTCTAGATACCACATATAAGTGGAATCATACACCATCTTTTTGTGTCTGGCTTATTTCATTCAGCATAAAGTCCTCAAGGTTCATCCATGTTGTAGTCTGTGTCAGAATTTTGTTCCTTTTTGGTGGACTAATATTCCATTACATGTACATTTTGCTTATCCATTCATTAGTCAGTGGACATTTGGGTTAGTTCTACTTTTGGCTATGAACATCAGTGTATAAACATCTGCTCAAGTTCCTGCTTTCAGTTCTTTTTGGTATATAACTAGAAGTGGATTGCTGGATCATATGGTTATTGTGTTTAATTTTTTAATTTTTTGAGGAACTGCCATACTGTCTCCCACAGTGGCTCTACCATTCTACATTCCCACCAGCAGTGCACAGGGGTAGGGAGAAATTCTGACCTGGGCAAATTTCTTCAGTACCTGTCACAGAGTTAATGCCAACTCTGTTCACGTTCTAGAAACCCAGACCAACCCCTCTTAATCTCTCTCATTTCTCCCACTCTTGATCCCCAACTACCAGGTCCAAAGATACTTCTTTTTCCTTCAGTAATCTTCTTCCAGAGTAAATAAAAATAATAACCCGATCATTTTTTTTTATTCTGTTGTATTTTACTTTATTACATACACGATTTTCTTTAATTGGCATTTTATTTTATATAGATATTAATTTGTTGCCCTTCATATTTCTGAAGACATTTCTGTTCATTGTTTATTTACCTTTTAAAAAATTTTTGTTCTAAAATAGAGTTAAATTTATCAATATTTTCACTGTGAATTTTCTTTTTTTAACCACTTTTATTTTATTTTATTTTTTTAATTATTTTTATTAATTTGGTTTTTTTAATTAATTAATTATTTTTGTGACAGATGTTTCTCCCCGAGCATTTTTTTTTGAAAAAGGAAAGAAGGCTCCCTGTGGCTTTAACCATCACTTTTTACCTCTAAAAAAGCTGCTCAGGGAGTAGGTAGAAGTAGGTTTGGGTAGCTGTGCATAAAAGGAGAAGCTGTTTCGGCTCTTTAGCTGTTCACGCCCCTCATGGTTTGACCCACTATTACCAGCAGTCTCTTTGATGGACCATGAGATACCTGTGAGATAGTAAGAACTAAATCAGTCATTCTCATCCAAATAAATCCTACTTGACAAGCATTCCAACAGACTCTAAAAGCTTTTCACCAGAGGCCCTGGTCCTTTGGCCGACATGAACTCCAAAACTGGGGCAGGGAGAAAAGAGAATCAAATAGACTAATCAACAGAAAAATGGGCAAAGGAAATAAGTAAATGGATCATAGAAAAGGAAATTCAAATGGTTATTAAACACATAAAAAGATGCTCAACCTCACTCTTAATAAGATAATTACATAAATGAAAAGTACACTGAGAGCCCTGGCTGGTTTGGCTCAGCGGTTAGAGCGCTGGCCTGTGGACCGAAGAGTCCCAGGTTCGGTTCCCGCCAAGGGTACATGCCTTGGTTGCGGTTTGACCCCAGCCCCAGTTGGGGTTGTGTGGGTGGCAACCACTCGATGTGTCTCTCTCACATCGATGTTTCTCTCTCTCTCTCTCTCTTCCCCCCTCTCTCCCTCCCACTCTGTCTGAAGATAAATGCAAAAAAAAAAAAAAATGTCTTCAGGTGAGGATAAAAAAAAAAGTATCTCAGACACTGAGATACCACTGGTCTGCTCTAAGACTGGCAAAGATCCCAAGATTTAATAATACCCGGTGTCAACTGTGAGGAAACAGGAACCTTCTGACATTGCTGGTGGGAGTACAAACTGGTGCAACCCACGTGGAAGGAAATTTGGCAATATCTATCCAATACAGATGCAAATTTCCTCTGCCAATAATTTCACTCTAGTACTTGATCTTTCATATAGCCATCTATGGACAGAATACAAGGTTACTGATAGCAAAATAAACAACACAAGATTGAAAAAAATCTAAAGTTCATCAACAGTGAACTGATTAAATAAGTAGGATAAATCCATATATAGTAATACCATACTGCCTACTTATTTATTTATTTTTAATTTATTTTTCTTTATTGATTTTTAGAGCGAGGAAGGGAGAGGGAGAGAGAGATAGAAACATCAATGAGAGAGAATATCGACAGGCCGCCTCCTGCATGCCCCCCACTGGGGATTGGCCCACAACCTGGGTATATGCCCTGACCGGGAATCGAACCAGCAACCTCTTGGTGCATGGGCCAATGCTCAACCACTGACCCACACTGGCCGGGCACATACTGCTTTTTTAAAAACAGAGAATGAGAAAGCTCTTATATAAGAAGAGATCTCCAAGATATATCATTAAGTGAAAAGTGCAGGGTATAAAGTATGCTATCACTTGTATAAAAAAGGAGTAAGAATATACAGAGTGGGGCAAAAATTCACTTAGAGTTGTTTATATGGAAAATAATACAATAATTACTAAATAATAATACACAAAGGAATTCTGTGTTTCACATGCTCAAACTATAAACCTACTTTTTCCCCACCCTGTATATTCATATATGTATTTCCAAATGTAATAAGAATCTTCTGATGAATAAAAGGAAGCAAACAACAGCAGTTATATTTTGGAAGGTCAGGGACTGAGGACTGTGTAGATGCGTGACAGTGTGGGAAGGATGCCTTGACTGTATGCCTTAAATACTTTTTGATCTTTAAATCACATGACAGTATTCCCTGTTTAAAAAAAAACAACACAAAAAAACTTAATGTTCAGCTGGTGTGGTTCAGTGTGGCTGACTGTCGACCCATGCACCAAGAGGTCGCCTGTTCGATTTCTGGTCAGGACACATGCCCAGGCTGTGGGCCAAATCCCCAGTGGGGGGCATGCAGGAGGCGGCCAATCGATGTTCTCTCTCATCGATGTTCTATCTCTCCCTCCCTCTCCCTTCCTCTTTAAAATCAATAGAGAAAAAAAATTTTTTTTAATTTAAAAATATGCTTAAACATCAGATAGACTCTGCCGAGGTATTAAGTGGTATTATATAACCACTAGGCAGTGAGACTTGGTGCCTAAGGAAGTCAGTTCTGCCAACCAGTTATGGGCACTTAAAGTCAGCAGTTCTCAAAAATGACTGCATATTAGAATTACCTGCAGTGCTTCTTATACATGGAGACCCCCTCCTCCCTACCCCCAACCACCTACTGAATCAGAGTCTCTGGAGTGAAGCCTAGGAATCTAATTTTAACAAGCACCCAAATGAATCTAAAATAGCCAGCCAAGTATTAGCTCTCGGACAGCAGACCTAGCCATATGGGAACTACTGCTATATCTCCCCAAGGATCTTTTCCCGGGGTTAAATTTCCAGATGTACATATCTGTAAATAGTCTAACCTCATTCCCTTTCTACTTACTTCCCACAGGTTCCCCACTCCAGCTGACTCTCTCTAGGTCATCGTCGTCGTCATCATCCACGAAGTCTCGAAGGCTATTCACTGCCCGCTTGGATTCCTTTAACTGCAGAGGGACATCAGGCAGGACACTCAAGCAATCAGCAATTCCCACTCTTCTCTTTGGAAACCAAGAAGGCTAAGTAATTGGAACCTGAAGATGGCCAACACTTTCACCTTCTGTAATAGAAAGTCTAGCCTGCTAGTTATTTGCCAAGAAAACAAATTGCTTTTCAGCCTACAGTGGCAAAGGAGTTGGGAGGAATCAGAGCCACTTTTGAGTTCTAATCATATTCCTAGCAATGCCTTGTTGTGTAAACCTAATGAGTTTATCCACCCCTCCAAAAACTAATGTTCCCCCATTTGTAAAACAGACACAACAAACAAAGAAGTTCCAATCCAGTCCATCTTTCAAATAGAAATTTCATTTCTTTTATCACATGATAAAAGACTTAGGTTTTTTAGAGGGAAAAAAAAACAACAGAAAGAAATGAATCATCTTAATATAAAGTGAAAAGGGCAGAGAGTTGGTTTTTACAATCCTTCTGATTCTCTTCTGAGGGCTCTTCTCCATGAATATTTTTCTAAATATCTAACCCAAAACATTTCTAAGCCTAATGGGGACCTGCTTAAAAAGCAGGTTACCAAGTCTGCAAGGGGAAGGAATACTAGAGGCATAAAAGAGAAGGATATGACTTTCAGCAACTGTTGATGGAAACCTACCTGTGAGAGCTCATCATCTTCATCATCAAAAGTGAAAGCCTTGAACTTGGAGCTGTTCCAATATTCCTCTTCATCAACCTTTGTCCTGTTCATCTGGAACGAGAGAAGGACTGTTATATCCCTTTCTAGATTCCCCCACAAAAAAACTACAAACTCCCTGCAGTAATCAGCGATGTATAAAAGAATCTGGTAAAGCACATACTGAACCTGCCATGTAAAATCAGACCCCTGGGTATCCAATTGATCAAACCATACTTTTGATTCTCTAATTACTCACAAGTAATAATTCATTCCTAGAATACCTACTTTGTTCAAGGCACTCTCTCAGGTGTTGTAAGGGATATTTTAAAAGTACAAGACACAGTTCCTCTCCTGGAGGTCTTACAGCAGACCGGAAGCATTCAGCAGAGGTAATAGTACAAGGCAGACAAGTGTTTTCAGAATGCACTGCCAACTTTGCTAAGTACACAGACAGATCATAACTGCATTCATGTGTTCAACATATATATCTACTGAGTGCTAGCTCTGAGGCACTCTTCTAGGCTCTGGGAATACGACAGCAAATAAAACTGACAAATATCTTGCTCTCAGGTATGCTTGCTAAATGCCTAAAAGAATAAAAGCAATTAAAAGAAGCAGAATTGCCTGGCCAATGTGGCTCATGGATTGAGTGCTGTCCCATGGACTGAGAGGTCCTGGTTCAATTCCCGGTCAGGGCACATGCCTGGGTTTTGGGCTCAGTCCCCAGTGGGGGATGTGCAGGAGGCAGCCAATAGATGAATCTCTTACATCGATGTTTCTATTTCTCTCTCCCTTATTCTCTCTCTAAAAAAATCAATACAAACATATAATAAGTATATTTAAAATAAGCAGAATTGCCCAGCCGGTGTGGCTCAGCGATTGAGCGTTGACCCATGCACCAAGAGGTCGCTAGTTCGATTCCCAGCATGTTCCCACTGGCACATGCTCAGATTGTGGGCCCAGTCCGCAATGGAAGGCATGCAGGAGGTGGCCAATCGATGTCTCTCTCTTCAATGTTTCTATCTCTCTCTCCCTCTCCCTTCCTCTCTCCCTAAAATCAATAGAGTCCGCCAGTGTCGCTCAGTGGTTGAGTGTTGACCTATGCACCAAGAGGCTGTTGGTTCGATCCCTGGTCAGGACACATGCCCAGCTTGTGGGACCGATCCCCAGAGGGAGCAGGCAAGAGGTAGCCAATCAATGTTCTCTCTAATCGATGTTTCTGTCTCTCTTTCTCTCTTCCTTCCTCTCTCTCTAAAATCAATAAAGAAAAAAACATTTTTTTAAGAAAAAAATTAAAAAGAAGCAGAATAATCCCGCCTATATCTTCAAATCTTTATTAGTTTATTACCAAGTATCTGCCCAAACTTGGGAAGTGAGGGCACAGCCAGAAAATAAAAATTATATATATATATATGTATATATATAGAAAGAGAGAGAGAGAAAGAATTGGTCAAGAGACCATAAATTCCTTATAATTACTCTAAAATTAGATTTTAGTCTGAAAAATATCTGCCCTAGAATTACAAATTATCAATGCTAACTGGATTAGAGTGAAAACTAGTTTAACCCAAGAACTAGGTCCAAAACTTCCACAGCACCTAAAATAACTCCAAAGGCTCCACAGTCTCAAGGATCAATTTGCTTTTCCTTTCATTTCAATAGCACCTTTTTCAACAGAAGCTTCAGAAACGAACATCTTGAGGCTTCTGATGGCTCTTAACATATTCTCCTTTCTCTTTCTGACTGTTTTCAGGGGCTATAGGTATGGCAAAGACATGGCTGGGAATTTTCTACTACCTGATCCCTTCCCATTCTACTGAACTGAGATGTAGCTTAAAAATTCTTTTGTATACTTAATGCCAGGGAGTCAAAACAAAATGAAAAAGCTGGCAGATAATGAAATCCTTTGTAGTGATACAAGCATAGGCTTTGTAGTAAGGTAGCCTTGAGTTTAAATCTTGGTTTCTCTAATTCTGATCAAATCGAGTAAATGATTTTATTTCTAAGCCTTGAATAAAATGATATCCTACCTATACAGAGTTACAGTGAAGAATAAATAGAACTCGGCAAACACCTAACAAGTACCTAGCAGAAAGTAAATACTAAATATTAGTTCCTTTTAGTACAGGATCTCTTACTGACATCTGTAGAATTGGCATTAATAATAGAAATATAGCCCTGGCCGGTTTGGCTCAGGGGTTAGAGCATAGGCCTGCGGTCCAGAGAGACTTGGGTTCAGTTCCCACTAAGAGCACGTACCTCAGTTGCAGTTTGTCCCCGGCCCTGGTTGGGTCATGCAGGTGTCCCTTTCACATCGATGTTTCTCTCTCTTCCTCCTACTCTATCTGAACAAAAAATGGAAAAATGTCCTCAGGTGAGGATAAAAAAAAAATTGAAATATACCTTATAGAACTGTTGTGAGGCTTAGAACCACTTAATACATGCCTGACTCAAAATTAATGCTCAGTATTAACATCTATTTTTTAAATTTTCTTTTATTTTTATTTATTGATTTTTAGAGAGAGGAAGGGGGGGAAGAGAGAGAGAGAGATACTGATTTGTTGTTCCACTTATTTATGCATTCATTGGCTGATTCTTGTATGTACCCTGACCAGGGATTGAACCCGCAAACTTGGCATATCAGGACAATGCTCTAACCAACTCAGCTACCCAGCCAGGGCAACTTTCATTATTATTATTGTTGTTGTTTTAACCCTCACCTAAGGATATTTTTCCATTGATTTTTTTTTTTTTTTAGATAGGGTGGGAGGGAGGGGGAGATAGAGAAAAACATTGATGTGAGAGACACATCCATTGGTTGCCTCCCAAATGACCCCAATTGGGGCCAGGGATCGAACCCATGCTCTTTGGTCCTTGGGCTGACGCTCTAACCACTGAGAAACTGGCCAGGGCTCAACTTTTATTATTAATAAATCATTATGGTACCTTGGAAGAAGCTAAAAAGAAAATATTTTTAAGCAATCCTAAAGATTAAAAATAAGTAATCTGATACACAAATTCTTACTGGCCGTCACAAACACTGAAGGTATGCAGAGAGCATTACTGTAAATGTCTCTGGCACTGGTGCCAATTTATAAAGCACTTACTTTGTCATCCTCAGAACACCCTGTAAGACAGGCCTGGCAGATTCCATTTCCATTTCACTGATGAGGGTAATGAGGCACAAAAGAATTAAGTATCAACACAACCTTGCTAATTGCTCCTATGATCCTGGTTTGCTGCCTCCTGGATCATTTCCACTCTGACTAGCATGGTCCTTCTATTTTTCACACTAGGGAAAACTAGGGCCGATCATTCTTCACTATATTAAATAAGTATCTGTAAATATCTACAGATAAGCATAGAATATGCCTAACAAACTAAATAATCCACCAGAGGATTTCGGGACTTTTTTAAAAAAAAATCTTTACTGGCCCTGGCCGGTTTTGCTCAGTGGTTAGAGCGTCGGCCTGCGGTACAGAGAGACCCGGGTTCGGTTCCCGCTAAGGGCATGTACCTCGGTTGCAGTTTGTCCCTGGCCCTGGTTGGTCGTGCGGGTGGCAGCCACTCGATGTGTCCCTTCACATCGATGTTTTTCTCTCTCTCTTCCTCTCTCTCCCTCCCGCTCTATCTGAACAAAAAATGGAAAAATGTCCTCGGGTGAGGATTAAAAAAAAAAAAAAAAATCTTTACTGGAGGACATGTTATTGATTTGGGGGGTGGGAATACTGATGTGAGAGAGAAACATCTATCAGTTGCCTCCCATATGCAACCCCACTACAACCTTTTGGCATAGGGGACAACAACCAACTGATCGACTCTTGATCCACTCACCAGGGCTGGAATCTTTTTTAACCTGGAAACTTGGATGGATACTTGACATCAATTTGTTTGTCAATAACCAAATCAGAACCTAGATTTACTTGGCAAGTAAAGAGGTAAAGATTTAACGGCTCTAGAAGTTATAAAGCAAGCAGGTACAATTTTAAGAGTGAAAAAGGTGCCCTGGCCAGTTTGGCTCAGCGGTTGAGTGTTGTCCTTGGGACCAGAGAGTCCTAGGTTCGGTTCCCGATAGGGGTACTACCACACACACACACAATAAAGAGTGGAAAAAGGTGTTTTAACATGATTTAAAATACTTCATCTACTGTTTTTAATAGGAGCCTACAATAGGAACATGACAAAATAAGAAAAACAGAGAGCTCAGAAAAATAAAAAATCCTTGCAACCAGGCCCTGGCCAGGTAGCTCAGTTCATTAGAGCCTTGTTCCAATGCGCCACGGTTGCCATTGATCCCTGGTAAGGGCACATAAAAGAATCAATCAATGCATAAATAAGTGGAACAACAAATGATTGTTTCTGTCTCTCTCCCTTCTTCTCTCCAAAACATAAAAAAAAAAAAAAAAAAAATCCACAACCAACATGCTTCCCTGCCTCAGGACATCCCCGAAACCAGCTACTGAGTAGACTTAGATTCACTTATCCTTTTCCAAGCCCGGCCTACATGAAGGCTAAGAAGTGAGTTCCCCCAGGACAACGTCCAGGAAGTCACGGATCTAAGGCAGTTTGACAGAGCCCGACCGATCCTTGGTTGACTAAATACTCCCTTAAAATCAAATGTCGGGGCTCATTCCCAGTTCCAACCCTGAGTGTACTCTGATCTCCCAGCCTGAGGTCGCTCCGACCGGAATAGAGTCAGGCCTTCGGGGTGTCTAGCGACGCCTCAAACAATAAGGGGGAAAGATCAGGGTGCGAAGAGGCTGGACTCAACCAGATACGCGGCCCAGGGGTTTGGGACACGCTCACCTCTTCCACACGGAGCCCTCCCAATCAGGACAGCGCCGGACTCTTCCGCCGCTAGACAAGCCTTTCTAGACTGGCTGTGCGGCAGAATAGGGGCGGAAGGGATCGTCGCGGGAAGAGCGGCCAGAAGAACCCTGCGGCAAGAAAGGCACCGTGGGGCATGCTGGGAGTTGTAGTTTCTTCGCTCTCTGGCGTCAGGCACTGCCCGAAGAGCCACGGGGCTTATTAACTACAGCTCCCAGAATCTCCAGCGCACGGTGCCCAAGTCGTTTCCTTCAGTTTTAGCGCGACCTTCCGTAGTTAACCAGCGGGTCATTTAACAAGACTACAAGCCCCAGGAGGCTCAGCAGAGCCGACTGGGGTCCAGGGGAACAATGAGACTTGTTCTTTGTGTTCCCACGGGTTAGGAATGGTCGGGTGCGCGGTTGCATTTCGGGCCTCTTTGGAGATAACCCGAGAGAGCCTGAAAGAACCCTAGGATTGGCGGAAGTCAAGGTCCGGCGAGGTGGAACGGAAGTAGCGGGTGGGAGTGAGGAGGAGCCGGAAGTTAAGGCGGGGAGGGGGTGGGGGGTAGAGGGAAAAGCAAGCCAGAAGGTTCTGCGGCCGCTTCTAGTAGTTTCTAGGCGCTGCCGGGCTTCAGGGACTAGGCGGTACCGAGGTGGTTGCTGTGGCTGCTTGCGACCAGGCGGTACTGAGTTGGTTGCTGTGGCTGCTCGGGACTTGGTGACGGCGAGCTAGGAAAGCCGATGGCCAAGTGGGGTGAGGGTGACCCACGCTGGATCGTGGAGGAGCGGGCGGACGCCACCAACGTCAACAACTGGCACTGGTGAGAGCTAGCGGGCCAGGCCGCGGGAGCACTGCGGCTGGGCCAGGGTGGCGGGGTCCCTGGAGCCTCGGACGGGACAAAGCTGAGCCCGAGGTAGCCCTGCCCGGAGATGGGGGTGGGTGCCTCTTGTTGCCGTGGTCCTGGCCCCAGGCCTCCCCTCGCCCTCCCGACCGCGTCTGTTTAGGGGGCCAGGGGCAACGTGGAGGGGTGCCGCCAGAGGAGGGGTTGCAGAGAGGTGAAAGCATAACTCCCTAGCTTCTGCATCCAGCCTGAACAGAGGATGTTTCCCACACGTGGTCAGAGACGACAGTGAGACCCAAACGGCGGGCTTGGGTTGTGTTGGGAGATTGCTGTGGCGGGCTCGGAGCCCGGGCTCCGGAGTTCCCGGTTTGCGGCTTACGGGTGAAATTCAGTCATAGGAACCACTGGCTCAGTGCAGAGAGCGAAGGTTTGGAAGTGTTGTCCAGGTGCTCAGCGCTCAGCGATGGTGAGGACTCACGGACCTCTCACCCGGAACTGTTGTAATTCCAGGCACTGCCCCTGGTTGCCGGGCAAGCATGGTTTTATCACCTAACCACTCTTTAAAAGCCTGCTTTCCTTCATGAAATCTTGCAGAAGTATTTTCCTTATCTTTCAGCTCCACTGAACCCTGTTCATATCGTCTTCACTGTGTTTTTACTTTGTTGCAGCTTTTTGCTGTTTTTCTCATACTAGTTAGTAAGTTGCCAGGCAGATAGTAATATTTCGTCTCTGTGTCTCAGCCGGCCTCCTCCCCTATTAACGTGCAGGGAGTGTTCGACCTAATTTTTGTTTGTTTTGAAGCCTTGGACTTCCATTGTTTTCGCGGCCATCTAGAGGGCACACAATGTGTGGGGCGTTTATAGCACAGCCTGAAACTTAACAGATCAGAACACTGTGCTAATTGGGTCAAGATTAGTGGTTTATTCCTTCCTGGACTTTTTTATGCATTCTGTGGCCCAGTATGAGCTCCTGACTTCAGTAAAATGTACAGTTTTCCACTGGGTCAAGTGGTACCATGTTAAGGTGTCACATACTGATGACATCCCTGCACCCCCACCCCCCTACCCACCCCCCCCACACACACTATTACTCTAATGTAGTTTGTAACCATTCTGTATAGGAGTTATCTTCATTGACAGATTGTGATTCCTTGTATTCCTAAAATAGAGGGACATGTTTGTGGACACACTAGAGAGTGGAACTAAGGATTTTTTGTTCTTTTCAAACTATTTGTCAGGCCTCCTTTAGCCTTGCATTTTCTTGACTAGAGCATGCAGAGAACACTCCATTTGGCTGCTGGTCCATAACCTTGTTTTCTTTTGCAGGACAGAGAGGGATGCTTCAAATTGGTCCACGGATAAACTGAAAACACTGTTCCTGGCAGTGCGAGTGCAAAATGAAGAAGGCAAGTGCGAGGTGACAGAAGTGAGCAAACTCGATGGAGAAGCATCTATTAACAATCGCAAAGGCAAACTTATCTTCTTCTATGAGTGGAATATCAAACTGAACTGGACAGGTGAGTCTATGCTGGGCTGTCAGGAAGGAGTTTAACTGCATTTTGACTGACCTGTTAAGGAGCTGGGCAGAACGGTTTTTGAGAGGTTCTGAACTTTTCAAGGGAGGTAGTGCTGCTTTGGTGTCTCAGAAAGCAATATTAGATGCTGAAATTTCTCTGCCACCGTGGGACACCAGATGGCTTTCTTTTCTGTGAGTCTCAAGAGTCACCATCAGTGAAGCTGCTGTGCCCCTGCATTTTGGGGATTGGTTTGTGGCAACTTCTGTCACTTAGATGATTTAAAACTGGGAAGGGAGATTTTTTTTGGTCTTGCTGTTATTTACTGTCTTCAATGTGAATCTAGCAGGTTAGACTACGATGCTAACAAAGCTCATATGTGACTAATTTGTGACAGCTTATCCTCTAGATTAGTGTCCCTTCTGTGATATTAACAAGGAATTGGGACCATCATGTGTGCCACTAGATGGTCCTTCAGTTGGTAGGTGGAATTTTTTTTATTTATTTATTTTTCCCCTTTATTGATTTTAGAGAGAGAGGAAGGGAGAGGGAGAGATAGGAACATCCATGAGAGAGAACATCAACTGGTCGCCTCTTGCATGCCCCCCACTGGGGATCAGGCCCACAACCTGGGTATGTATCCTGACCAGGAATAGAACCAGCGACCTCTTGGTGCATGGTTCAACCCTCAACCACTGAGCCACACCGGCTGGGCTATTTATTTTTTTTGTTGTTAATTTTTTTCAATGATTTCTTTTTTTTTTTTAATTCTCACCCAAGGACATTTTTCTATTTTTGTTCAGATAGAGTAAGAGGGGGAGAGAGGAAGTGAGAGAGAGAGAAACATCGACGTGAAAGGGACACATCGAGTGGCTGCCACCCACACAACCCCAAACAGGGCCGGGGACAAACTGCAACTGAGGCACGTGCCCCCAGTGGGAACCGAACCTGGGTCTCTGTGGTCGGCGGGCTGACGCTCTAACCGCTGAGCCAAACCAGCCAGGGCATAGATTTCTTTTTTTTTTTTTTAGAAAGAGTGTGTGTAGGAGGGGGAACATCGATGTGAGAGAGACATATCAATTGGTTGCCTCCTGCACATGCCCCAACCAGGGCTGGGAATTGAACCTGAGACCCTTAGGTGCACAAGCCAACACTCTAATCACTGTGCCACACTGCCACAGCAGGGAGGTGGAATTTTAAAAGGCCCTAAAGCTGAAGAAGTATGTATATGGGACAAAGCATAAAATAAATTTGTGTTTCAGTAAGCACTTTCAAATGAATGGTAATAAAGAGGGGGAAAGGAGATGTCTTTTTTTTCTTTTTAACTACTACTAAAGCATAGTAGTCTAAAAGGAACCTTAGGCATCATCTTGCCCTGTCCTCTTCTCATAGATTGAGAAACTGAGGCCTAGTAAGGTAAAAATAAGTAAATGTTTTATTGGTAAATTTTGAAATAGAGTTAGTTCTGCTATAATGTGACATATGTATTCCTAAAAGTCACTGCACTATTCAAAGTCGCTGAATGCAAACCATAGGGCTTATTGGGAAGAGAGGGTTGGGCACACAACACAATGCCCAAAAGCTTCATCAGTGACACGTTTAAAATTTAGGAATGTAAAAGTTGATAGCACAGTTTTAAACAAGTTAAGTGGTAAATACATAAATGATACAGTAAGTATGGTGCTTTACTTTGAAAAGAACCTGAAGTTTAGCCCTGGCCAGTTTGGCTCAGCGGTTAGAGCGTCAGTCTGCGGACCAGAGAGGCCTGGTTTTGGTTCCTGCTTAAGGGCACGTGCCTTAGTTGCAGTTTGTCTCTGGCCCCTCTCTCCCTTTCCCTCTACCTGAAGATAAATGCAAAAATGTCCTCAGGTGAGGATTAAAAAACAAACAAAAAAAACCCTGAAGTTTACTTGTGAAAGTGGACCTCAGAAATACTTGCAGCTTGTGCATTATTGGAAAGTAGTAGGAGTGTCATCTGAAATCAGAAGGAACTTTATAATACCATTTGTGGATGGCGTGGCTTATAATAGGCATAGTGAACTGAGGTCACTGGCAAATAAATGTTTGAGGTGTGTTTTGTGTATTCCTATGCAGCTCAGTTAAACTGGGTGTGATTTTTTTATGTTCACCTAGCGATTCTCATGGATGAAATCACATATAAGCAAATGTGAAATTCATGTTATGATCAAATGTTCCCTATCTTATCAATCACATTGGAACAAATCTATATTTTCTAAATAAGCATTCTAGCAGAACTGACTGTATTGGCTGTTGACCCAAGTCATCCCTAGCAGGATTCATGTAGCTTTTGGTCCCGCACTGTAAAAACACACTTGGTTTCAAGAAATTTGATGAAGAACATTTCTGCTAAGGGAGGAAGATTGTTTGCATTTGGCATGTCACATTTTCTCAGAATAAAGAGGGTCAATTCAGTTGTCCAAAAGCAGTGTAAGCAGAGTAGTAGTTAGGACTCCAGAGCAGACGACTTTTCTTGCAGAGGAGAAGACAAATTACATTGCATTGCTTTTGACAGGTACCTCCAAGTCTGGAGTGCAGTACAAGGGACATGTGGAGATCCCCAATTTGTCTGATGAAAACAGCGTGGATGAAGTAGAGGTTTGTCCTTCCTAACTCTTCATCTGAGTCTTCCACATTCTCTTATTCTCAGATGAGAAAAATGAGCTATCATTCAAAAGTCAAGGCCAGCTTGGCCCACACATTCAGAACCCCAGTCTGCAGAAGACTTTCTAGGTCAGTGGTGCCACT